CTCCGCCCTGAAACGAAGTCAGGTCTCGAAACTAAATTTACCTAATTTTTAGTTCCATTGGATGGTGAAACGCTTCCGCAATCGGTTATAGCGGATGCAGAAGAAGAATGCTTTAGGGGTAACTGGTAGACTGCACTGAAGATACTGAACAGATGCTGATTGAGTTGATACAGTTTGCTACTGGATTGACTTTGCTAAAGTATATAAATTTACACAGGCCTACTTTAGAGCTTTCATCAAAATTTTGGCACAATCGCCATTAAAACGCACGAAGGCCATGTACCCTTAGTACCTTGGCCTGTCTAAAGAACTTCTAGACTCTCCACTCAAATGCGAGACAAACGAGAAAAACGCACATCAGGCCACTAAATCTTGTGACCTCAGAGTAAGCGAGGATTCAAAGACCAAATCGTATAGGCCATGCACATTTTTAAATATGAATGACAGTCAATAGTGATGCCTTTTTGACACCTTAAAAGGCGTCACTTTTGACGGCCGGCTTTCCTAGTTTAACAGATGTAAAGTAGAGACAAGTTCGCTTGAAATTCCCGAAGTTCGCCACGAACTTGACAATTTCATTACGCATTTGTCAATCAAATCGCGAACTTGAGAGCGAAGGGATGAATTTCACGTGAAAGTTCGAAGTCCGCAAGTTACTAGCCTGCGTAGCATTGCGGTTTTGTCGGAAGCACTACTTTCGCCGCGCCAATCTCTTTGCGGTTTCTCTGCCCTCGCCCGCCTTTATTACTTTGCGCGCCCAACTAAAACCACCATGCTACGCAGGCTAGCAAGTTACGAGTTTCTCAAGCTCACAAGTACAAGCAATTTGCTTTTGAAATTGAACTGCATATTTTATAACAGTAGATTTATCGAATTAAATGGAAACCTTCAAGGACAAAATGGATGACAAGTTATCAGCTTATTTTTGACACACTCGCTGCGAACCAATTTACGTGTTAGCTTATTACTAAAACTTCTTAACTTGGATCAAGTCGACGCGATGTTTTCAAAGGAACTAACCTTACCTTTGGGTGGAAAAAGCTTGCTGATAATCAATACGTACAGTGAAACCCCTATTAAGCGGACACCTTCGGGACCTTCCCAACTGTCTGCTTAATAGAGGTTTCCGCTTGAAAGAGGTTTGTAAAAACTGGGCCAGGAATGTTTGTTTTACGATTAAAATTCAACGGTTACTCTGTACTGTGATTTAGTTCCATGTTGTTGAGGAAACTAAGGAAGCTAAAGAAGCTGTGCTGTACTTTGCGCAAGACTTTTGGGTGAACTTTGATCGCGGATGACAATTATACTGCAGGATATCGGTGTAATCTCTCTTTTATTGACAGCTAAATGTCAGTATTGATTTATCTTTATTAATCGACTACAGTACGTATTTCAAGGAAGAAATCCAATACTACCATTGCCAATTCAGTGCGGTGTCCGCTTCATAGAGGCTTTTAACAATAGAAATTAGCCAAATACGACTTATTTTAATGTCCGCGTCCGCTTAATGGAGGTGTCCGCTGAATAGGGGTTCCTTAGAAAGGGAAATATAAGACGTTAATTTCGGGACCCGGCTTAGTGTCGGCTTAAAAGAGGGTGTCTGCTTAAAAGAGATTTCACTGTATAAACATTAACAGCGTCACCACGCCCTATTAAACCGAGTTTTATTTCCTCCTTTTCCGGCTTCTGAATTCCCTCTACGAACGAAGTTGTCGGCAATGATGTTGGCAATGATTTGTTTCTGCAGTCGTAGCTCTTTTCCTATTTGTGTTGGCCCTTTCTCTCGTAAGCAGCTTTCAATAATGTTCTCCCTAACAGAACTTGGGATTGCTTTTCCTTGCACTGTGAATGGATTCATTTTAAAAATAATTATTACAAAATAACGTGAACTTCCTTCTCAACGAATCTGGCAACTTCCCAGCGACGTTCGGGGTGAAATTTTCAACTTTGGTTCAAATTTCGCGATTTGATTGACAACTGCATAATGAAATTGAAATTCGTGGCGAACTTCAGAAGTACTGTGAAACACACTGTATAGTAATTTCATTTCTAATCTTGTACTTTACACAACCCGCCCAAAGCTTATGCTTTGAATTTTTATCGTGTTTAAATAAAGGATTGAATGGTGGTTGATGATTACGTTTGACGCATTCGTGACACATACCCGAGGTTTCCGCGTCCAAACTAATATCTTAAGTAAACAAGACGACTTTTCGACATTTTCTACAAAAGCTCTGGATATTTATAAACTGCCACATTCTCTCATACATATGAGTACAACAAAAGAATGAGCTGCTGTAAAACGTCGAATATAATTTTACCCTACAGTTCCAAGAATTGTTAAGATATTCTGAGAAACGTATCGCCTTAATTCACCTCACTTTCGAACTCTTTGACCCTCACGTCTCACGTGAGTCAAACCAAATGCACAAATTTTCACCGAAATGCGCTTTTTTTCCTTTGAATTTAGTCTGCTGGAATAAAGACCGGCGTCTGAATCAATTCAGTCCGCGTAAATTCGAATTCGATTCGGCTCATGTGAAGTACGGCTTCTAAACTAGGCCATTGCCCTGGCCGTAAACCTTCGCTTGATATACGAAACAGGTTCCCCACTGGACGTTTTTTACATCCCAGTTTTTCGACGGGTTGTGTTTTTCTTTTATAGTATTTTCGTTTCATTTCCAACGATAAAATGATGTGTTTTGTTTCTCACTTGTTTGTCTCACAACAGGCAAATTAAACCAGACTGGTCCGCCATACTACACAGCTCCGCAGCAACAAAAACAATAACTCCTTAGCTTGCGGTTAGAAGTTGACTTTTAAGTCCCGAGGAGAGGCCCCTACACAAACTGGGCGATCTACATCCATATCTCAATCGCAAACGGGAGAGATACCAACTACGGAGACTCTGGAGAAATCTTCTGACTTTGCGTATTGAAGAATAAATTGAATTTTTAAAATGTTTTCTTGAGGAGATCGAGCTCTGATGCAAACTTGACTGTCCGATTTCCAAAGCTTAAATCGATCGTACTATAAAGTCCTATGAACGTAAGTTCGACTAATGTACTAATGTAGTAGAATGTCTGATAACATTCGCTGGAAATTTTCCTTCTTAAATAGCTTGCTGAACGGCGCTCGAATGACGTTTAATGAGATGCTTTTGCTAGCACGATGATCAAAATTCTGAACAGTCACCAGATGGATATTTCATCGTAGAAGTAAAACAACTATTGTCTTCTTACCTTCAAGGAGAACATCGACGTCTCTCTAAAAGCAAAGGCAACTACAAGACGCAAAAATCCTCTCTGTTTCAGAGCTATAAAGCAGAAAAAACCCGGAAGAGATCTACGCAAGTTTCCCTGCACTAGTTACTCATTCTCATCCCCAGTCAAGACCACGTGACCAAGAGAAACGAAGGGCTCTGGGGACGGGAATGCCAGTTCCTTTCACAGACTCAAGAAGCGTTTTTGTGGAAGTCGTTCCGTGAGACTAAGTGAAATAAACGAGGGGCAGATATTTGCTCCTTGTGAAGCCATTTCATTTGTTTTAGTCACTTCAACACCACAGTCTCTGTTCGAGCCCCCCTCTAAGGGTAAAGGTGCAAACGAGCCAAAGGCCCACACGGCCGGAGCTTATACCGATTTCCGTAGCACGAAGCATGCCTAGGAGTATTGCTACTCCCCCCTGGACGGGATACTAGTCCATCGCAGGGTTACCCCCCAGCAGTATGTCGCTGGTACCTATTTATGCACCTGGGTGAAGAGAGACAAAGTGGAGCAAAGTTCCTTGTCTAAGGAAACAACACAACGGACGAGGCTCGAGCCCCAGACCTCCAGATCCAGAGTTCGGGGAGTTAACTGCTCGGCCACACACGCCTCCACAAGAGCCCCCCTCTGTGTAAAGTTAAAATCCGGTGTCATAATGTAATCTTGGAAACGGCCACTAGTTTTGGGAATTACTGGCAAACTAGGCCCAAATTGAGTAAAGTAAGAAATTAGAGCATTGGAGATTTACAGTGCAGACACTCAAACCGGGACACTTGGAAGAAGATTGTCCAACTACAAAGTTTTCTGAAAACAAAACATTCTCAAGTTTTTGGCAAATGGACCAATAAAATTCACAGTTTAACTATGGCAACGGTACAAAAACTTTGAAACCGTTTGTACCTGACCTCTCAGGAAACAGCCATTAAATTATGAATGCTGTTGGTCTGTTGGCAAAAAAATTGAGAATCTTTTGTTTTCAGAAAACGTTGTGAAGGAACAATCTTCCTCCAAGTGACCTGGTTTGACTGTCCACACCGTAAAAAGGAGTAGTACACTTTTGCTCCCCCAACATATTCTGTTTATTTCAATTGCTGTTAAATTCCTAGCTAAAATCGAAATAGTCCTCTCCATGACTTGTCGATATCCCCCTGATTTGTTTCAGAGTACTTTTTGTAGTAGTTAGTTTTTACTTTCCTGGTATTAGCATACGTTGTTTGAACATCTTGTAGTCAACAAACTTCGTGATCTTTGGTTTCCCTTTGGGAATAAATAATTCTCCAACGACGTAGACAAGAGAAAGGTTACTAATACCAATGTGACAGAGCCCGGAATGCGTATAACGTTTTTGTTATTTGTAAGAAATAAATTAATAGTAGTTGCGGATTTGTCAGTGATTTGGATGTGCACATTTATAAGCTGCTGGTATTGGCAGAACTTGCAGATTACTAAGAGATTCTTTCTATGCGATTCTAGTGGACAGGCAGCCACATTAAAATCTACGCCGCCCAAATATTCACTTTTAACCTTTAATATCCTGTAGGTGAAATTGCGTCTACATCAGCATGTGGGAGTCTATACCAGGTACTCACAATAAAAGGTACAATTATACCAATCCATTTGAGGGTTCGAAGGTCATGAAACCTTAAGGCACTATGTTTAAAATTTTAATCCAAATGTGTCATTAGTACTGAACATTATTTTATTCCAAAAGAACTTGTATAGAATTGCAAATTTCTTCAACGGATCTTCATAAATAAACTTTACTGATACAAATACAATTGTGCTTTAAATATAAAAATACGATCTTGTTGAAAATATTAACTATAAAAATATTTAAATTAATATCCAATATTCTTCAAATTTACCCTTCATTACTTTAATAATGATACGACATTGGACAGCCTTAACATCTCCATGATATAGACCTTGATATTCGTAAAATTGATGATAATTACAATTATAGTTTATACAGTACACAAGTAACTTCAGTAGAGCAAAATCTCTGAAACGTATTCAAGAACCCAGTTCCCTTGAGAATTCCGAAATGTACATCCACTGAGCAATCTCCATCTGTTGCTGTCCGCATTACAGACATTTAGAGTGACATATACGGCAAGAGGCAAATGTCAAATTTAAGTTCAGAATTTCCCAAATTAAAAAATGTACAGCTAAAAACAGTCCAATACATTTGCTATAGACAAAAGTAATGTGAAGCTACTAATTCTGGGTAGAAGAAATTAAGAGTAAAGCACAAGTTAAAAGGGGAAAGTTGGTCACGTGAGTTTGCCGTTTGTCCTAAACGTGACTCTAAATCTAGTAAAAATATCCTAACTAAATAATAATTCGTTTTTCTCGTTTAGTATAAAAATCTCCAGTTGTCTTTTCAAATAACTAAATAAGAACAAACAGCCCTGCTTGAAAGAGCAAGCATTACTTTTTTTCTTAGTTTTTCGATTGTTTGGGTCACAATGTGGTTCATGATGTTCAATTATTAATACATGTAGCTTTCATTGACAATTCATCAGTCGAAAAGAAATGTTGGTCTTTCGACGAAAGATGAAAAAAATGTCGAAATATGTACTACTTAGCTATTAATAATAATAATAATTTATTACAATTATTATGAAGGCAACAAGAGAGATGCGCCATGCATTTTCCCTGTCAATGTCCTGGTCTTTAAATGAATGTTGTGTTCCTTCCCTGTCTGAAATGCCTTGCTTTTGTAACATCAGAGGTTTGAGACATGTTCTTCTACGCCATCAATTAAATGAGTGACGGACTGAGGTGGATACGTTCCCTGCATTGCCTGCAAACAAAATGATAATTAAAAAGCATTTATTATAAACACAAGATAATTATTGTAAATATTCGTCATTTTACCCAAACGAATTGATAAAATTACAATATTGGATGTTTGAACTATTAAAAACAGCAAAAGGCCAAGTTTAATGTTAGAATGATATACTCTGTAAATTTAAGGCTGAACAAACACATGCAGGAAACTACAAAACTTTTCAATTTTAGTATCGCCATTATCATCATCTTCGTCATAGTCGTGTTCATCATTATCAATATGATGGTCATTACTAGCAATGCTATGTTTAAGCCACAGATTTTCTCCCATGAGGTTGTTCAAGTGAACTACATACAGAGCGTTTTCACCTGTCGTCAAGGCGGCCATATTGTTGTTCCAAAACAATGACACGGTGGCCATTTTGGTGTACCAAACTAGTCCTGTGGGAGTTGAGCTATTTTCTCATGCAAAAGCTTTATTTGTTCCAAGAAATTTGCACCGATGTTTAAACCGTAGAAAACCCTTCCCGGCTATATTGTGGTGTTTTATGTTTGACAATTAAAAAAAAAAACATTAAAGTCGAGCTCTTTTTAAAAAAAATAACAAGGTTTCGTTTTGTTTGTTGTCGGAAAGTTACCTCGCCTAGTCTGACATCATCAACACTGAAAGAATTCTTCATCGGTAGAGCCTAAGGAAAAAAAAAGAACAATTATTACGTGTATTATCTTATTCTTTCCAACTAAATACCCCTATCTCTAAAATTGCCATCTTTGTTTTGACGCTATTGGGTGGCTGCACTGCATTTTCAGGGTAAAAAAATTACCATATCCCCAGATATAAGAGTAAGACGAGAACAAGTTACCCAAGTTATTAGTTTCACGACATTTGTATGTTAAACTAACGCTTACCTCGCGGCTCGCTCTAACGTCACCCAGACTAAAACCTCCATTAAGATGAGAATTCTGCAAAGTAATAGAAAGCAAGATGAAGCGATAATGAAAGGTCCTCTGTTCACGATAGGTAGCCTGTTTCCGGATCGAAGAAAAAGAACAACCTCCTTAATTACGTTCGAAATAGACCAACACACACCTAATACAGACAGTTAAAGCAACTGTGGGTGATTGAACGGACCTAGCATACTCGCAGAATCTACAACGGAGAATGATATCATTACTAACTTACGAAAGGAAAGAAAGCCAGTGATCAAGGTCGGTCGAACCCTTAAATCAGCTTTCTCCAGTAGATCCACGATGTAACAAAGGGCCAAGAGACTGGCAAATTAAGCACAATATAAGGTTTTTTCCCATATCATACTTTTACAGGGTTGATAAACATTATCGTTCATTATACCGAGGACTTCGTTTAAGCGAATTGAACAACGTGTTGGGAATTTCACCCGCTCAAACGTAACCTGGCCTAATCCCAATGGTAGCCCGGAAGGAGATACCTAGCTCGGCCTGTTTGTAGGAGAATATGTTTGTTTAGCGGCACAATGCAAAGCTTCCTTAATATGTTTTATACTTACCCCATGGCTCGTTCTTAGGTCATTAAAACTTAAGGCTCCGTTAAGATGAGGAAACTGTGAAAACAAAGGAGGAGTAAAATTATGTTAACGGTTCTCGGACACTTGGTCTAGATAAAATAAGAAAATGCCACTCGATGATTTTATAGTATGCCCAGTCATAACATTGTGCAGCGAATTTCTTTTGTTGTTTTGTTCAGCTAATTAAAGTTAATGTGGAAAATTTAATAATTCTAACTTTTATAGGCGCGGACATTTTAAAAGAACAAGGCCATTGCAAAATAGCGGCTATCCGCCTCAGCGAGAGGGGCTGGAGGAAATTCAGTGTATTTCCAAATGATGCAGCTTGGAGACAAACAAACGTTCACCAAGTCGTTTTCATATCACATTTCTCCTAAATAAGGTACAACCCACCTCACGGCTCATTCTAATGTCACCAAAACTGAAGGCTTCATTTAGTCGAGGAATCTGTTAAAATGAAGAACACATTAGGGATCAGCGCAACCAAGTTAATTCTTGCTTTTTTCGTGTCTATTAAGTCCCTGCCGAACTAAGCATTTATTCTGCCTTTCTTGGCAAAAAAGTGAGTATGAAGTCACTTTGGTTTGCATTTTTGGGTTGCCAATTACAAACATTTTTGCTCCCTTCGTGGTCATTTTCATCGTTTTAAGGAAATTGCTTCCGTCTATTGTTCGTAAAACATGTAAAAGTTGCGATTACCGACGCTTAGCAAAATCATCGGCCGCGACATTTAAAAAACTGTGAAGCCACTGTAATTTTACACTGTCTATGAAAGGGTAGGGTGTGAAGAAAATGTTCGGCAGAAATGATCTAACAGGTGAGGTGTGGGTAGATTTGTTGGATAGAATGAAGTGTAATTCAATTTGCCGAGAAGTCCTCCCGCCGAACTGATCTCGTCGAGAATATTAAAAAGCTGCTTGCGCTTAAAAAGATTCTGCCTGCCAGTTTTTAGAACAGCAAAGAAGTATTCTTTCGACCCAATTACATTCAAAATTCAAGAGCTTTTCAAGGACTCCCCTAACATTCAAGGACTTTTCAAGACTCTGCGAAGAGGAAGGATTATTGCAGTTGGTTGGTGCGCGGCCTTCTGTGCGAGAATTCTTTTTTTAAGTGACGTTTCCTTAGCCGGAATAATAAGGCTAATAATAAGGCTAAGACTGCTATCTAGTTGTGTCTTAAGAAATGGACACCACAGCTGCGTGGATCTAGGCAACAGATTTCTTTCCGTCAACCACATTTTTTCAGGGAACGTCTCAGGCCTTTTCAGCTTTCTCACTGACTCATAGTTTTCTTTCAGAGAAAATATACATACCTCCGTTTTTCCATTCACATTATCTACGTAAAAGGCCCCTGGGCCAACATGAGCCTCCCTTGCATCTTTTGGCCTGTTGATTAACAGAAAAGAGAACAACCTCTTTAGTTCGAGGTTTTCAAAACAAAAACACATTTACATCAATTCCATTTTATGCCTTTACCAATAAAATAATCACATCTTGCAGGTATCAACACGAAGCAGATTTTAGGGTCCTTATGGAAAGGAAGTTTTACGTTTCTTTTCTAAGATAAATAAACATTTACTGCCCTTTTGCCCTGAACAAAAAAAACAAACACAAGCAAATCCGCCTTCAATAGATTTTCAACTTTTGTCAGCCATATTCAGTTCCCAACTGCTGTAAAATAACTTACTTCCGAGTTTTATTTTGAGGTTGTGATGTCTTTCTCCTGTTGTCTGTCAGTAATAAGAAAAAAAGATAACAATGGCAGTTAGACACTAAATACATAATTTTCCGTATTTTCTAATGATATCATAGTTAGCTTAGCTACCCGAAGCTCCGACTATTTCTTTAACACTTTTTTAAAATAGTTTTTATTAATTGATATTCCTTCTATAAATGAAGGCATCTCTATAAAGATTTTATATGTCCACAACTATGCCTGTGAAAGTTGAAATGTGGATAACTCCTAACGTTTGATAAGGGACAGTTAATAAATGACTCTGCCATAACATAGTCCTACATGTGTCTATAAATTAAAATACATTGTATAGTTACCGTCGAACATTCGACTAAGTAGTGCTTTAGTGTTTTTGTTCCGTTCTCATCTTATTTCTCACATCTCTAAGCAAATTCAAAGTTTCTGAAGTAAATAACACTTATGTTCGAAAACCGTTTTAACCGTCTTACCGGGTTTTTTCTTGCCTTTCCTGGCACAGCAAATGGAAACAACTATAGCAACAATTATGATTAATAAGACTCCTCCACCAACAGCTCCGTAGGCCCAATTAGGGAATAACTCGTAAGCTATAAAACAAACAGATATATCATTAAGACACTCCTATAACCCACAAATACATAGATGGCAAGAGTCGACTGGAACGAATCTAGTCATTCGAATGTTTTTTCTTGCCTGATGCAGCTCAACAGACTAACGAAGCTTTTTGCAATTTTTCGACGATCGTCAGGGTTAGCCTGACACACCCCTCCATCCCTTTTTCCGCTTTCACCGGCACTTTTCCTTTCTGTTATTCAAATGCACTATAGTACTTCCATCTAAAGTCCTTGTCACCACTTATGTATTTTAGCACTTGCTGAGGAGCTAAAACTGTTTCATGCATTGAATTATTTGGGTGTCTTGAGAAACAACTAAGTGGTACTTTACAAGACCCACATGATTGTGAGGTTGTCACTACTTCCAGCTTCCGAAAAACAATATATAAATCATTTTTGTAGAGCACATTTAAAACAGTTGACTGAGCACAAATTTAACACGATGAACTTTCGAGACGCGTGCGCCAGGAAAAACGCAAAGGAAACTTGGCTTTAAAAAAAGAATCACAGTGGTATTGTGCAGTGATTAGAGGATAGTATTTTTTTAAAAAAAATGGTATGTAGTGGGATGTGTTCCGCCAACTGCTGTGAAATATTCAGCATGAGGAAAAAGACTAAAGGAAACATAATTAAGCGTGAAACAAGGTGAGGTCAAGGTTATTTCGGAGCTTTTGGCCAAATATTTCTAGAGACAAATAGAGCACGGGGAACGAGCGGTCTACAAACGCACAACTCAACTCCGTTAAGTAGACCTACCTTCGATAACATGATTTTTTGCATCGTCAATAATTGCTAGTGGTCAGAGTTATTTCTATTGTACCACGTTTAAGTAACAGCGGCAGCAGTTGACGGAATCGTCTACGCCTTTTTTTCTCGACCTAACCGTTATCAGATATAATCGAGAACGGTGCCAGTACAATTAATTTTTAATGCGCAGTTTAAATGGTTTTTAGTATCACGGCACGGAGTAAGCTTCCTGTGTTTTGCGTTTTGTCAAAAGGCGTCTACAGCCACATTCTCATATCCAAAGTTAGCAGCACCTCAACTTTTAACACTACAAAATTGCTTCCTTAAACTATCACAAAACATTACATGAACCCTCCAAACGATGGTCATGTAAAAGGCTCATTATTTAACGTACTAGGTAATTTTAGACACACGGTACCTGTGATCGGCGACACTTACTCGCCAAGCTAAATAGGAGGGGTTACTACAAGTGGTTTTATTAAGGCAATGAGCAGCCAATACGGTTTTAAGGATTCTTTTATTTCTTCCTTGTTCGAAATCAGATATCGCAACCACCACCGAGATTTACCTTATTAAGTTTCTTGAAGTAAAAGGAAGGACGAGATAAAAGAGAAATTGAACTTCGGTAGTTATGCTAGTGCAAGAAAGTAGCTTATAGCTTTGGAAACAGATTTTGCTGAGAAAAGCGTACGAAATGTCCTTAGGTACGTCTAACTCTTCAAAGGAGCTTTATCTAGTTACCTAATTAAGTAACAACTTTGGTCACAAAACCTCTCCGATAACCTGTACTAATCAAAAGCAGATACGATACACCTCTGATTTCGTTTGAGCATTTTAGATAGAGTCCAATGTAGCGAGCCTGTTTTAAGCGGTCACTTACCAAACTCCCGGAAATCATCTCTCTGATCTCTCGTTTTAAGCGGTCACCTCAACTAAGCGGTTGAACTCACATTTCTGAGGTCCAACGCAATATTGTTTATCATCTTTACCTCTATTAAACGGTCACTTTGTTGAGATGTACCATATTTAAGTGCGATAGATACACTGTAGATGGCGTCTAAGTTTTGGCGCCAAAGAGGTACAAACACTTGAGGTCAATGGATATTTCAATCTGCCCCATCTTCATTTTTTAAATCAACTCTTAGCTTTGTCAATTGCTCTTAACTACAGGCTTGATTGTACACCAACAATTTTTTTTTAAGCGGAGAAATTCATTCGTGAAAAACTCGTTACATTCCCAAAACTGAGCCGAAGCATCATACGCACAAAACCTGGGGACGGGTCAAGCAGATGACTATTTCGAAATGTGATATTGGTACATTTTCTTACCTTTAACTGTTACAGTAAAAGTGACTATAGCTTCGGGCCCTTCTCCTACTTCATTGGTAGGCACACAGCGGTAGGTTCCTTCATCTTCAGTCTTGATACTAGGAAACGAAAGTACTCCCTTACTTGTCCTTCGAATTAATTTTCCATCACGATAAAATTGGTATACGGGCGTAGGATTGGCTCGTGCTGTACACGTAATCTTGAATGGTTCCCCTTCTTTAGCCTCTTTTGAGGGGGCGGTAAGTTGGGTCTCTGTTGGTTTGTCTGTAAAAGTGCAAATGAAGAGACATTGTTGCGGACGGGTGCAATAACCAAATGACGTATAGGTAATACAAAAGACTGAAAAGACACTGAACAACACCCACACCACAAAACAATAGCTAACAATTAATAGTTTCCGCAACACCAAGAAACACCCAACAGACGTGATTTTTTGACCATTGCTCAGTCACACCGTGACGTTAAAAATTTAGGGCAAACAGCAGCAAAGCAAAAGCTTTCATTTTTTTCGGCCTCCATGAGCGGCTACAGCCTATACGGCTGGTCTTTTTCAGTCAGTTAAGTGAGGAAAATGCACCGGTTTGTTTGGCTAGTTTGGAGGTAAGGGCAGATAAGGAAGTGTTTCTTAGTGTCCCCAACACGAACCCTTCCTGCGTAACAAACCTGATACGGACTATAAGAGTATCAAGAGTATGTCTATTAAATTATCAGTGTTTCCGATGCGGCGTTATTCAAGGGCGGCGTTTGTCTCAAAATAACTTTTCTTAAATCACTGACAACAGTTACTGTAAATCGTTTTTAAATATTATGTACTTGAAAGGTTCCAAAATCTCTCTTAATTTGCTGAGCTGAGATAGAATCGTATGTAGATAACCAAGTTGTACCCGAGTTTTTTCGCATTGATCCTCGAATAGACGCCCCATTCTTTTGATTAGGTGCGACGTTTATTCGAGGGCGGCGTTTATTGGTAATTTTGCCTCTATCTGCGGCTTTTTTAAAATATCAAGTAAATTGTAGACTTTGCCGGCTACTCTGAAACTCAGCTAAGTTCGCAATCCTCGCTATGATAATAATATGCTTAAAATTAAAGACGGGTTTGGGGGAAAATGTCATACTAAAGTGTAATTCTTCAAATAAGAGGGTGGAAGTATGCATTCCTTACTCTTACTCTCCTATTTTACGCACCTAAAGGAGGTGCTTAAATCATATTTTTCTCCTATTCTCTCCGGATTACAAGGCTTATAGAAGAAGTTAGGCATCAAGGCTTCAAGGTAGTCCTTGGATGGATTAACGAAATGAGACGTCTGGTTGGAGATCATAGTGACCCTTCTGTTAATGCCGAATAGATGGTCTTTACTAATAGCTAGCTTACATCTAAGCTGGGTGGTCGTAAGAAGCGGTCTCTTGTACTTTTTATATGGCTTCCACTTGAGTAGTGTCTCACAAGTTATTTATCGGCCGCCGTGCGCTGGAGGGGTAAGGCATTGTCGGAACTTAAGCATTTACAAATGGCTTAGCGGGGCCTTCCCGACTTTGGTTGAGAAAAAAAGACCGGAAAGGTGTCTCAGTCTTTACGCGCAGGCTACAAAGGGCGGGAAAAAAAATTGAGAGCACTAAAATTTTGATTTAGAACATAAAATGGTGAAATTACTATGATAGATATTTGATTAAATTTTCACAAAGTTTGCCTCCGATGAAAATAAAGGTCTATTTGAGCCACGACTCTCAAAAAGGGAAACAGTTTGTTATAAAGTGATTTCTTAGTTTTGCCTAGGGCAAAGCACCTGCGAAAGTCGTTTTATTTCCGAATTTCAAAGGAAAATTTCCATAAATTTTGAAAAATAAGGAAAACTTCCGTGTTTTGTTTGCAAGAAGTGCCGTGATGTTTACATGTGGTCATTTAAAATACTGGATAATTATGTCAGGTTGTGGAGCTGAAAAACGGAAAACTATCGAAGAAACAGATCCAGCCATTCTTGTTGTTGCAGCTTGTCTTTAATCCGCATATTTTTTGAAGACAATATCATCCTGTGGTTTTGAGCTACGCTATATTATTTTTTTCAGGGGAACAGCTTTTCCGACGACAGAGCATTTTAAAACCACCGAAATACGAGAGATAAGATAGATGAAATAAAATAAAACATAAAAAAGTAATCCTGTCTGTTTAATACGGGTTAAGCATCAACTCTAACATCTTTCCGTAATGAAAAATATCATATGCTCCAAAAATATGGAACACTAAGGTGAAAATGGTTAATAATTTAGGTACGAGCGAACATCAATTCGCGTACGGTACGTCTAGGCCCGGTTCGCACTGGAGCGAATTTTGTTTATCTTTCAGCCGTTCAGGATTTCGTCACTTTGACAAGATATCACTGAACAATAATGTTTTGACAGCCGTGATTTTGATATGACAATTTTCGACACATTTATTAGGGGCTTACAGCGCAGGATTAGTCTTGTGGTTTGTAACTGGCAGGCAATAGTATTTCTCAACGGAGTGATTTTAATAATTTTTCTCTCCAAGGGTAACATAAACAACATGTGGTTTTTAAAGTCAACACGATCTCGCTTGGGAAAATACATTTTCTGAATAACAATGTGATAATTTAGTATCGGGACTCAATGACCAAGAAATCGTGAACTGGTGATCTTTGAATACGCATTGCTTGAAACTATGCACAGGTAGGCGACTTTTCCTTTCTTTAACTTAGATAATGTTATTCACGCAAGGAGATGTGGTTGTATCAAGTCTGTGTTCGATCGCGCGTGAAATATTTGGAAATGTTGGACCATGACTACGACATTTCACTGATGCTTTGTTTGCGGATAAAAATTTTGCAGAATGTTCTTTACGCTCACGTTTCTGAGATTTAGTGTGGTTTTCTGTTGATGATTATCTTACTTCTATAACATATACTGAGTAAATATACTCACATTGAACATTCAGTTCAATCGTGCTTGGAGTTGTGAAGAAACTGCTGTAGAAAGCACACTGATAAAACGTGTGATCCTTAACGTTTATATTCTTCAAAGTCAAGCTGCCCTCAGTGAATGAAATGCGTCCGGGATCATCATGTATAATTTTGCTACCAGTCAATTTCGATTTTGCGGCCAAACCAGTCCAGTTTTTGCTGTTCATGGGCTCTTCTCGCGTCCATGTTATCAAATGGAATACATCGGCTTCCTGCTGCTCTTCTGGAGTGAGAATATATTCGCAAGGTAGCGTTATATCTGACCCAACAGCTACATCTATTACATCGCTTTCTTGTTGTCGAAGCGACCACTGAAATCCATCTGAAATAAGACAAAAATGAATCAACAAGGCATCTAAATTTCCGAATAAAATGACATTCGATTACGTCGGCCGCCGTTTCAACTAATCACCACTGTAACGGAGGTTTAAACAACAAGTTTTAACCCGATGGAGTTGTATATCATTTTCTCCAGATATGGTAAAGACACGTAAACAAAGGTATCACTTAGTTTTTCCGTACTTACCTAGTAAAATAAAGTTATGAATCAAAAAGAAAATGCCGCAAACAACGTTAAAGTTATAAACCTCCATCGATCGTCGTTTGTTCGTTCCTTATAATAGCTCAGGCATGACATCCTTTTGTATTTGTGCTTATTCTCGGCTTCTGACAGCCACTCGACTTTCAATAACCCTCCGAGGCCTCCGTTATTACGTCAGATGTCTGCGTCAAGGGTAAATTCTTTTATTTGCATGTATAAATGTTTTCAACAGAAACAGGAAAGAAAGTGAAAATGTTTCCGGAACGTTCCCCGCCTGCAGCAAGTAAAATTTACATCGACTGAGGTTCAGCGTGACACGTATCGTTGAAAGTGGTATCGTTTTCGGTAAAACAAAAGGAAATTGAGGTATTCGTAGAATTTCGCTGACGAAGGTATGAAATATGTCGATTTTTACTTTAATTTCCGGGGTAAACTGCACTTTCTGACAACTTTTGTTGGTCGACGATCCAACACCAGTGAAACAGCGGCTTATTTGACACCTGCATCTGAGGAGTGAAATGGAGCATGTATGGAAATCTATTACAAGTATTAAGATTTGTATGTAGTAGCATCGATTATATTGAAATACAACGCATAAATTATACTGTGGACTTTAAAGGGGCACAGTCACGACTCGCGCATGCTCATTGAGTTCATCCTACTCAGGCACGGTCCATGTTGGATTTTGAAGGTCGGAGCAAAAAGATCTAAAAATTACCTCGTTTTCACGTGTTTTACCTCCTTTGATTACTTAAAGAGAAACTACAATTACAAGTCAGTCTTTCGTAGTTTTAACATGCCATCGAGGGGCAAGATTCGTATGATTCTACCATTATGCTGTTGTGACGACGAAAATTTTCATCAATATGTCTCAATTAATTCTTTTAAAAGGTATTGAAGATATCTGTGTACAGTGGAATCTCGAACGAACCTCTAACGGATAAGTCCTCGGTATATCCGCTCTGGGACGAAGTTAAGCTTATTGACCGAGACCCTCACTGGTAGTCTCATAGAGTTAAAGAGACTATCCACATGAGACTTCACGCTAACAACATCTACAGGGACAGTGGAATTGAGATTCCTGAAGCGTGGATGCCTACAAAAAAAAAACATGACAACCGACCTCACTTACCTCTACCACGGCGGACCGCCGGGGGATCAGTTTCTTCCTCTCACAATGTCAATAATGCCTTGGCTCGAAACCCACCAACCATGAGCGAGGTTTGAGATACACCAATCACTAACAACCACGGTGGTACAAACAGTTCGACTCAGTAAATCGACACTACCTGCAGTGTGCTGTCGAAACGTCGCAATCAATATCAAAGTGACAATCGTGAGACAAACTATAAAACTAAACCCTTTATAAACTTTTTTCACATAACAAAATATATGAAAGAGACCCCCGAAACAACGAAACCTCGTTATAGCAACAGATTTTGCCAGTCTTTTTGCCCTTCGTTATATCGAGGTTCCGTTTTATAATTTTCAGTTAAATGGTTCTGGTAGTTTTGTTTGGCACCAAAAACAGGAATGTAGCATTTACAAAATACCGCTAAATTTTTTGCTTTCTCTTGAGAGGAAGCCTGGTATAATCCACACAAATGGTGCAGACATTTTCGCTCGTTTCCGTAAAAGCGGTAAAAAGATAATGCCTCGGACGGAAGGTAATACCTTTTTTCCGAAGAATTTTCACCGCGTACGTTGAACCGTTCCGTTGAATTCTTATCGGGATTTCTCACCGGAATTAGCGGGTTTTCCATGCAAATTGTAAGGTGAAGTATTCTTTCTAAAGTGAAATTACAGTGTAATTTCGTTTACGATCATTATATGTTACATGATGAAATTTACCTTCCATACAACAGCTCTTCAATTTGTGTTGATTCAGCTGAAAATTGAATAAGATGAGAGGGGTCTTTTCAATAATACTGCCGCGCCATGTGTGAAAATTTTGTCGCCCTGCAATCAAACCGTTGTGACATTCTTAGCTTCCACTACCCTGGGTACCAGAGGTTTTTCTCGCTTGCAGCGGGAAGTTTCGGTGTTGGCCGAAGGCCGACACGTCTTCGGCCGTAGGCCGAAGCCACGAGCGGCGACGCCGCGAGAAAAACCTCTGGTACCCAGGGTAGTGGAAGCTAAGAATGTCACAGAATTTCGTAAAAAAAAATAACAGTTTGATTTTCGCGCGTGTCACTATAAAGACTTGACAGAAACCGGAAACCGCGCTAGAAAAGTCTCTGGCACCCAGGGTAAGCTTCCACCTGGTTTTGTAAATGCAAAATATTTTTATAACTACGGATAATTTCGCTCCTTTTTCTTTCCTGCAGGTAAACATATTTCTGGAATATATTCATGAACATAAATGTCAGCAACATTCCAAGGTACATTACAAGCCTGAACTCATTCTATGTTTTGCTACGGTTTGCTTGTACATTTTATATGGACGCTTTTCTTCCCATATTAGAGTGCTAAATCACATTAACAAAAGACTTACTGGAATCCCTGATAATAAACGTGAGGTTGTGTTTTTTGTTAATCAATACATGACATCCAGAAAATATGTAGTTTTCCTATTCAATAAAATAACATTGAATTAACAAACTTCAAAAACGCTAGTTTTTTTTTCAGAGTTTTTGTGTGTTTGTGTGAATGTTGTTGATCAACAACAAACTACGACAATGCCATGGCTTAACTTAACATCTGTATGGGGAAGAACTAAAACTATAGAATCGATCTTTGTGTTTTGTACAAATTGACGTCAGTTTTTATGTGTTTTTTGTATCAACAACAGACTTCGACAATGTTTATGACGTAATTTATCATCTCTAAAAAAACTTGTGTCAATTTGATTTTTACATTCAAATATTGACAAATGTCAAACACTAGCCATAGCAAAAATGAAGAAAAAAGACAGGGTAAATCCAAACTGATATTATTATTATAATGACTTCTATTCAAACTAGTACAATATTGCTAATAACACGTTTGGCAATTTCATTGGCTCCTGAGAACCAGCAGAGGAATTTCATTGGCTACAAGTTTGACAGCTCGACTGAGTCTACTGTTTGCATAAATTTGGAATTCACTTGTTATTCAGAGTTCAGAACCAGAATGCGATCAAAGACGTTTACCGCTTTGAATTTCACTTCTGGTGCTCTCGTCTGGCAGTTCTGAAAAAAACATCGCGGAGCAGAAAATCTTGTACCAGTTGATTTATTTAAAGAAAAAAAGTTATCTTGTTTTTCACCACTGAGGTTTGGAAATAAACCAAAGGTAAGATTTAAAGGCGTGTTATTTCTCAGTTATGAAGTTTTTCCAAAACGGCTGTTTTGCTCGACGTGAAAGGACCAGGAAAGCACTTCACCGTTAACAGAATAAATGTGTTCGTAGCATGTTCTTTGCTTATAGTGGAATAATGCTATTAATAACATTCTTCAATCTTTTATAAATTTTCATACTTGAAAATAACTATAGACATAAAATTACAAATGGCTCAGCAAACATGCATCCCAGTGATAGGCTCTAAAACCCGTATCCTAGGTTCTGAGAACCAAGTTGGTCGCTGACTTCATCTTTCGTTGCTTTCTATAATATCACAGGTTTTGCATCAGCATCATTATAGCCTTTTTCTCTCCAAGAGGGCGCATGCGTCATGTGCTTTACAAAGAAAACAACATTGAAGTCCCACAAAGGCTCCTTTTTCAGAAGTTAAAATTTCCGATCCATAACGTTATTTACATTGACGCACTAATCACTGAACTTCAGAGCTCAGAACTTCAGACTTTAAAACCTGTGGTTGATAAAAGTATCAAAGTAATTATACCATCCGACTAAAGGTACGGAAAAACGGGCAACAAAAAACGTGCAACTTGTCTTGCAACATTGCTGTAAAACGAGTTGAATAGCGATGTCGCGCGTTTTACCCCCAACGTTCAAACCCGTCAACAAACTGATTTGTTGCAAGTTTGATGTGGGTGGTAAAACGCGCAACATCGCTATTCAACTCGTTCTGCAGCAACGTTCAAAGACAAGTTGGACGTCTTTTGTTGCCCGTATTTCCGTGCCTAAACGTTTTCTTGCTCTTCATTCATCATGCATTTAGATCTAATATTTGATCAATAAGGCTGTGTACATACTAATACCTGATAGCTTTTCCTGTCGGCACGAAAAACTAACATGGCCTAAGTAAAATCGCAAAAAATGCCAATAACACTGTAGATAAAGAGCAGAAGCATTAAGACCGAATCCACCAAGAAATTGAGAAATTTTAATTTTCAGTGGACAAAAACCTTGTACCAGAATATTGCGAATCTTTTCTGCATTTTTCAAGGGCTATCGATGTAATTAGTCATCTGTAATAACACCAAAGAAAATTTCTTATGGGAGTCCGAGAAAACAAATGTCAAATTTCACAAGAATTGTGAAAACGCAGGTAAAATCCTGAAAATTACATGTGTAAGATTAGCCTGAATTTCAGACGATTACTTCGAGTCGTTTTCTCTCAGTTACTGAGGGAGTGAAAACGACGCGAAGTTATCGTCTGAAATTCAGGTACAGATAACTTATTACATCTTTAGCCCTTGAAAAATGTGAAGAAGAATGCAATACGCTTTAAATTATTCTGGTACAAGGTTTTTGTCCACTGAAAATTTAAATTACTCAATTTCCTGGTGGTTTACGTCTTAAAAAATTGCAATTGTTTGCACTGTAGTTGCTTTCTCTTACAGATCCGAAACCCACTACCAGAGGATGAGTAACAATTGGCAATGGTCAAAGTAGCAGTTGTGGTACTCTTGTCACTGTTCACGTTGTCTGGTAAGACTTAACAACCAACAAAAAGCAACAACAATTAAATTTTGTCTCACATATAAAGAACATGATAAGAATATATCTAGTATTAAATTAGGGCAAACAATAACTTAGAGTAGTAAAAAAACTAAACGCGCTGAGAAGTCACAAAAATTATTATGTAGTTTCTATAATACTTAAACCGCGCGGCGCGGTGTGCGGCGGTACAGTTAATTCGAGGCGTCTTATAGGTCCTTATACAGCTTCGTCTTAGGGCAATTTATTCCGCTGTCTTATCAAACATCGTATCAAAAACTACAATAAAATAAATGTCGTAAGAACACTACGAATAAAGGAAAACTAAAAATAAACTCTAATGTATAGTGTCCAGAAATATACGAACAAGCAAACAAACAACTATCACTCTCCGCCAGCATTATGTAAAAGAAATTTGCCGCCTAGCGTTTGGTTATGCGTGTAGTTATTGAACAAGGTATGTGACCAAGCATAAGCTGCTATATCTAAGCGTGACGAAATGTACGTGAGAATTGGCGGGAAAGGAAAGAAAGTGTGAAATGAAAAAATGAAAGCCGGAAAGGAATTTTGAAATCGTCCGTTTCCAAACAGCTAGCATAACGCGAGAGTGTCTAAAGAAAATTTTGGTTATTGATTATTGAAAATGATTAATCCATAGTATTTGTGTTATTAAATAGATTCTTTTTCGTGGAGAACTAAACAGCCAAACGAAGTCCGTATAGGAGCACCCGCCACACTACAATGGACGGTGTCATTAACCGCAGAAGAAACATCGAAAGCAAATCGCTTTTCACTGATCATCTTGGAACGCGAAATGTTCCTATACAGCAATCTGTGGCAGATTATGGCAGTGAAGCAGTTTTCTGGTGGAGTTTACCAGGAAGTTGGCAACACAGATACTTTCGATGTCATTCAAGGAAATGACATGAAACTCCGGTTGAACAACGTCACAGATACCGATGGCACGCGGTTTCGCTGTACATTTCTCAGCTCCTTTTCAGCACCAAAGAGTATAATTCGAGTCCAAATAACAGGTAAGGCTATGTATGTCTGGATGTTATGAAATGATAGTACCAGCTATTTGAGTCTACATCGTGTAAGCGAGTATACAGTGCGACTACTATTACGGGGGCCCCTTAGACAAAGCTGACCAGTCGGATTACAGGAAAAGAACAACACATTCCAAGAAAGTTAGTTGTGGGCCAATCAGCAGGTCTCAAAAATACAATAAGTTACTCTAAGCACAAAATTTAAATATTGATAACAAATGTTTTTTAAGAAAACAAAATGTTTCACCAGACAATGCTTTTCAATTCGAAACGTTACATATAACACCCAGAAGACATGTTTGTTTGACACAAGCTGTTTTTTTTTATCTACTAGCAATTTCTTCGCTACAATGCCTCGCAAAATTGAGAACGATTTTGCAATTACATTGTAGGCTTAGTATCGCTAACTCACCTTACTTTTAATCGTGGGTCAACAAAAAAAGGGGACCTCCGGAGCCTGTGGGGGGAGAGGGGTGCCCACCCGCCGCACCTCTCACCCTACGGGCCTGCCATTGCTGCGCTTTGCAATAACATCATGACCTCAAGTCAAAAATTTATCTTAAATGTTTACGTTTTTTTGCCTGCATCTTTCACGCTATGCCTCACTTTGTCTCAAACACCTCAAACACCTCACTATGTCAAGCCACGTCAGCAGTGTATTTGCGGTTCAGCATCTCTTGCACTACGAAATATATGTAGGGCTAGGAAATACTTAGATCAAACGAGCACTTTGCCTTGTTCTTGCATTCATCTCATCCTGACTCGACTTTTGTAGTAGCTTATCATACGGTTTACCAGCAAAGGAAACTTGCTTTCAATTTTGCAGTAAACTCGATGAAACCTCTTGGAATATAGATAGTGAATAATTGGTCTCGTATGATGGGTGGTTGCTCATAAAGGCTTGACTGGAGTTTTTCGCGTAAAAAGATAACTGGCATCCAAATTTTGAACGAAGTTTGAAAGATGAGAACATTTTTGAACCTACCCGTTTAGTGCCGCTGAATCTCTACCTAAATGGCAATAGACTTTTTTTTGTCGCAGTGCATTGTTACATTAATTTTCCGCTTCATGTTTTTATGTTTGCGTTTGACCTTTTCTGGGTGGCTTTGTGGTGAAGAATACTTCAAGTAAGTGGACCAAGATTTACAAACGAGCGATGCATGTAGGGTAACTTTATAAACTTGAACTGTCAAGTGGTTCCAAATTCAAGTTAAAGTCATGTTTTGCTTTGAATGGCGCTTCCAATTCAGTATTGGTGTACGTGAGGGATCAATCCATCGGATTTGGTCGAGGGTTCTTTCAGGTGATTGCCGCATGCACAATTTAAACGAAAATTTCCCTTAAACTTCTTCATAATTGATCAAGTTGATTTATTTTCTTCTCTTGTTAGATCTTCCCATTAAAGTTCGTCTCGTTGGTGGCGAAACTCCTAATAAAGGTCGAGTAGAAGTATATCATAATGGGTTTTGGGGCACCATATGCACTGAAGGTTGGGATCTGCTGGATGCGTCAGTTGTGTGTCGAATGTTGGGATACACGGGAGCTTGGTCCGCCGGCTGCTGCACTGAATACCAAGGCAATACTGGTCCGGTGTGGCTGAATGAGCTTTCCTGCACCGGAAAAGAAACGTCCTTATCAGAATGCGGCCACAGTGGTTGGGGTGTGAGGAACTGCGACCATAGAAAAGATGCGGAAATAATATGTCATATTCCGTTTACAAGAATACCACCATATTCCAGTATAGAACCTACAACATCCGCAATAGTGTCAAACTCCAACCGTCACCACACAATAACAACTACCGTAGCAATATTATCATCGATACAACCCATCGTGCAATCCACAATTCAATCCTTGTCATGTAGAACTCGTATACAATCTACGTCTTCTCTAGGGCATTCATATTTTACGGCTACTTTCCAGTCTGGTTCACTCACACAAGCTGTGTCCTCCATCGTATCTCGTTCTTCAGTGATACTACCTACCACGCCACTCATTCCTGGTTTGCTTCCTGGTAAGTAGTCTAGAGATTGATTGATAAAAACAACTGTTACACCGCCACTAAGTTGACCATTAAGGACAATAACCAGCGCGATGTACGCCGCTTTGACTCTGATTATGACCGTTGAGGTTGTTGAGACACTAGCTGAGTAACTTTCAACTACAGGTTTTCTTACACCTGGACGATCATATCTCACTTTCTTATGAGATTACAAATGGGTTCAAGGATAAATTGATGTTGATGCCCACTGGCCTTGCGCCGTTTTGACAAAAAATCCCTGCTGGAAATTCCGAAAATATCATATAACAATTAGACCTTTGCTTTCTGTTTGCACAAACCTACCTAACCAGCTTGGTGGAGTGATCAGCGCGTCGGCCTCGCAATCCTGTAGTTCTAGGTTCAAGCCCCGTTTTTAGCTCTTTTTGGATTTGTCCCGAGTTCAAAACCTCGGTCATGCTTGTAAACAGAAAACTGGTTGCCTCCTGCCAGTTGGAATTTTTTATCCTGTGATGTTCTGTTTGAATGTATTACTTGGTTTAAACCATGTACGTGGAATGCCTGCAAACTAGCTAGAGCGGATAAGTGCAATTCCACTATTATAATCATTAAATCAATCATTGGCTCAGTAGAAAGCGCGGGTCAATTTCTTTGGTGTCCAACAGACTCTAAATACTTTCACGTACTTGCGCTACTTGAGTAAGGCTATGTTCACAATATACTAGATAGCTTTACGAACTGACAAGAAAGAATAGGTATCCGCTATCTATTTTATGAACACCTATCCGACTCTCCACTTAGGAGACTGGCGCGGCGCAGCTTCGTTCCGTTAAAGAAATTACCGTTCTTGTATATGAACAGAAGCCCTATCCGCCGTGGTTTTCCGGCGCAAAAGCTATCTGGTATATTGTGAACATAGCCTAAAACAGATACGCAGAAATTGTGTTTGATCTTTCATCTTTCTTTAGTGTTATACGTCGAGTTGCTGGATGATCTGTATGGTTTTCCCAGTCAAGGCCGTGTGTCTGTCTACTTCAATGGCCAGTGGGGAACGGTTTGCGACGATTCTTGGGACTTAAATGATGCAAATGTAGTGTGTCGCATGCTAGGATACCCAAGGGCTGTTGGGTACACAACACTTTCTAGATTCGGTGGTGGAAAAAATGGGCCCGTGTGGCTGGATGAAGTGAAGTGCAGAGGCGATGAGAGTACACTTGCATTGTGTGTACACGCCGGCTGGGGAAACAGTGATTGTGATCATACTGAAGACGCAGGAGTCATATGTGACTTCAACTACACAGTAGCTGCCAAGGGTGAGGTTGACTAAATTGAAAGTTTTCATCACGTCCTTTAAAACTGTGACTAAAAAGCAAAATTCATTGGGACACTTGATGGTGGTCAGTTAAAGATTCACGTGTGAGCACCTTTTCATAATTAACCATTAGGACTTTTACAATTACGTTGCCTTTTGCTTTAAAAGTGATGAAGGTATGAAAAGCATGCCGTTTAACAACGATACGAAAAATAAGAAAACGGGCCTACTTTCATGTTCTACTAAACGTAGCGTTGTTCAGACAATCAGGGTCCATAATAACCCCTTTCGAGTCACTTGAGGCTGTTTTCTGCACAAATAAGAACTCAAGAATGCGCTTAGACTGCAAAGCAGTCGGGCTTTCCCCATAAAAGTTCTTTTGAAGGTGTCCGAGTGAGTTTTTCGCACGAATAGAAAAGCGCGAGCGTCACGCGCCCGTAAGAAGAAAAATATCTTTTCGCGTCTCTCACCAGTCTGAAACTTTGCTTTCACCCTCGCTCCAGGACTTTTGTTTAACCGCTCCCTCATGTTTGATCTGATCATCTACGCAAAAGTACGGGCTGTATTGACTAAGTTTACATTTGTTGGTACATAAAGTCTATTTCTTTTAGGTTTTGAATATTCTTAGAAGAAATTCGCGTATGAAACGTATCACATCTCGCGCAGGTCCGAAACAATGGCAATTTCACTCTGCACTTGTCCTACACTCCTAACTTGTTGACTTCAACACAGTAGGTTTTTCTCTAAACAATCTGTTTTTTAAGGCGCCAGCATAACTTATTTTAGCCCTCGCTTCAGCTCGCGCGTTTCTAACCTGCGCAAAAATATGGGCTGTTTTGCAGTCTATTGAATGTGGTAAGGATCCCTCACAAGGCGACCACATTGAATATTCTTTACAGATATTGCCTGTACTAGCGACCAAATTTTCAAGGCAACGTAATCGCTAATCGCTCCCATGTACGTAAACTACTAACTACAGTACTTATAATTTGCCTGCAGATGCTAGCTGTAACTTTGACATATGGTACTGTGGTTGGGATAATGGGCCTGATAGCTCGGCGTTTAAGTGGATTCGCCATGCTGGTCCTACACCATCGCGTGGCACTGGACCATCAAAAGATCACACCTCAGGACAAGGTGAGGGCGATAATGGCTTTTTACTATTCATTCAAAAAATATTTCCCCGATTCTGATTGGTTTAAAGCACACGCATAATTCACCATAACCGGTTACTGATGACCAAATTTGGAAGAATTTCGTATTTAACGAGGAAATGACGTCGAAAATGCAGCGTTCTTGCAGGTTAATGCACCGTTAACCGAGAACACCTGGGGAAGAGGCTGAGTTGTTTTGGATGTGAAAACAAAAAATGGCGGACATTTTACTTGTTTCAAGAGTAAGAACTAAGCGAAATTATAGCTAAAAACATGACAAGAACAGCAAGAAGACAACTCGAAGGGCGACATCTGCTATTTGGAGAATATTTGCGACTACACTAAACGTGCACTATCGAAGGTTAACTTAACATCGATGGAGGTAAGCATGTTTTAGCTTTGTTTTTAAATTAGGAATTATTTTGAATGAATGATAAAACAATTATTGAATTCGGCTTTCGTATCATATGAAGAATTATAGAGATGTCAGAGGGTGTTATTCGCCTCGGCCTACGGCTCCGACGTATAACACCCTCCTCGATCTCCATAATTCTTCATAAGATACTCAGCCTCATTCATTAATTGTTAATTAATTCATGGGCTTCTAAACTGTGTCTGTAATATGGATGAATCAATACTTAAAATCTGGAAAAAGCCTATTTGCGAACAATTATTTGCTGTTTTCTTTAAGAGACCTCATACACTAGTCAGTGCCAGCTGGCAACTTGGCCGACAGCCTTTTTTTCGTTTATAAAATTAAATATCATTCTTTATGTACTTACCTAGTAGGATTTATGTTGATAGCACGATTTGTGATCGTTTCCACGTTGGATAGAACAAGACGGGTTTAACACTTGTCACTGACCTACTGTCAACTGATTATATGTTACTTTCCTAGTAATTTGTATGGGGGCAGATTTTAACAAGAGTTGCCTTGAGCGGATATCTTTTGATTTACAAAATACGATTAGTTTTACGAACAACTTAAAATAGCGTCACCTTTTTGTACTGGTATACAAGGGCGTCAGTCAACTGACGATGGCGAAGCACTGATTAGATTCTCAGTTGCCAACACTTTCTTATTTCAGGTTACTATTTCTATGTAGAAGGATCAGGAAATACGTTCAAGGTCGCCAGACTCAATTCACCATGGATAGAAAGCAACGGAAGTGCTACATGTATGGTGTTTTACTATTACATGTATGGGCAGTCTATCAATAGTCTTCGAGTGAAAGTTGCAGATCAGATTGTATGGCAGTTGTCGGGGAATCAAGGAAATGATTGGTACAGAGCCACGGTCCCTCTTAATTTTCTCGGGAAATACAAGGTGTGATGATTTAAGGAATGCCTTAGCAAGAATTGTTGTAGTAGGATTTATTGCCAAAACGTGTATCTCTTTTGTATATGGAATGTTAATATACCCTTGCACGGTTTCTTCAGGTTTTGACTGGGACAAGTGACCGAAAATCCGTCAATACTCTTGGAAAGAACTCCTTAAAACAGTCCAGTTGCCAAGTTTAAGAGTGATTTGTTGAAAACTAACGAGAATATAGATCCACAAAGTCGGATATTTTACAGATGTTTGTATGTTGAGGGGGAAATTTCTTGGCTGCTTAATTCGGAAGTATTGCATTTTAAGAACTTGGTAAGGTTACTAATTTTAAGAGAAGCGCTTTCTAGCGGTGTCGATGGATACTGGCTTACTGGTCGTCAAAACTGCAGAAAAACCGTGGAGCTCTATTTGAAGCGAGGAACTAATTCAGTCAAGAAGAAAAAAAAAACGGTTTATTTAGGGAGGAAACCCAAAGTGATTAGAGTTGGAGTGGGAGAAGGGGCTTGATCAACGTAATATTCTGTTTCTCACAACGGGGGGTTCCAATGACTGTTTTTGTAAAGTATCTGTTCGGATAAGCAAATACTGCCTAGAATTTTATATTCCTTTTGAAGGCTAGAAATTTCTATATGACCGTTCCTGTCATGTAGAATTCTCGAAGCTTATCCAATGAATCCTAGGTTTGGTTATTTTTCGTGAAAAACGAAACCTATAATTTTCGGATTCAAGAATGTGATGGAAAGAGGAATCAGAAAAATTTTCACTTTCGAAATACCAGGAGGGTAGCGTGACAAGGCAAGGCAAGTACGCACACGGGTCCATGTGGTCTCAAAACTGTTTTTGCTTTCCTTTAATACATATTTCGGCAGTTTACAGGCTGGTTTAAAATAGAACGTGATATTAAAGAAAAGCTTTTAAAACGTTCTTCTTTGAGCTGGTACTGGAATGTTTACAAGCACGAGGTTGAGGAGCCTCCATTTTGGTGCGCAAATTTAGTGTGACCTTATCAACATTAACATCTTTGTCTTTAATATGTACATGTAAAATCGACAAGGATGAAAGTAGCTCATTTGTCATCATATTACGTAGTGAAGTCTTAAGTCTTTTCATCGAGCTGAAGCTGCGCTCATCAGCGCACGCCGAAGTAGGGTAAGTAAGAAGTGTCTTACTGGATAGAAGGCGGCATTAGTTTGATCAAGTGTTTCCAAAAGAGTCTCTGGACGGGGGCATCAGGTGGCCTGGTTGACCAGCGGAGCCTCCACCTTGTAATCTCTTGCTTACAGACAGTTTCCCAGTTGAGTGACTTTAAAGAAGTCTTTGACAGACTTTTTTGGACACTTATAAAGACGAGAAAACTAAAAAAATGAATAGCTTTTAAATGGGAAAACTTTCCAGATCAATCTTCAGTCAATCAGGGTCTATTCTTTTTGGCCTCGCACCTTTGTTGTACTCTGAAAAATGTGTTTTGCATGAATTATACCAGCCCCCCTCCGTTTTTTATGAATATGCATTGTATTGTGGGATCGCCTGAAGGCAAACATTTCAAGAATGGTTCGAATTTATCACATTCCACTTCTCAAACTGTTGTATTTTTGGGGTAAAAACGATGCGGAAAAACAGCGAGACAGAAAGAGACAAATTTGCAGAATACAAGTTCAAGTTACGACACGGCAAATGGCTTTTACGTGTAACAGAAAGTCTTTAAAAAATCCCGCCCATTTCTAGAGTACACACGTGCGTATTTGCAGTAAGGACGCTACGTCCCTGAATACGTTAAATTGTATCTAAAATGTTCGGGAAAATAAAACTGAGGCCCTTGTAATTTCGAAAAGACTCAAGTTCCCCTAGGATGACCGAACAGATAGAAAGTTTATAGCGCCACTTAGAATGCATTTCTAGAGATCTAAAAGTACTCTGAATAACCTTAAAAGTGATTTCAGTGTATTCAATGTATTGGTGCCCCTGACAAGAGTAGATAAAGCCATAACCTTTCGATGGCCTGGATCGGCCTTTTGTGGCTATTTAACCTTTCTTATTAATTCACGAGATGAAGCATTTTCAATCATTTCTGACATATTTTAAGCCCATCAAGATGGGCTTGCCTAGAAGTGCATTCTGGTGCTCCGTCATTGAAGCCAACCCTGTTATGTTCACGGCAGGCTCTAACTATGAAAACTAATCAATTATAATCACTCTTACATACATAATCGTATTGTGAAAGACGTTCATATCTCGTGCTTACTCTCATCAATATCAACAGTCATTTGAGTAATAGCTTTAATTTTCCTATCCTGTAGGTTACATTTGAAGGCGTGGTTGGCCATGATGCCCAAAGTGACATTGCTATCGACGATGTTGAGTTCCAAGAAAATACAGTTTGCGATAAAACGGCCGAGACCCTTCGGTAACTAGCGATTTACATTTAGTTGCGATATATTTTAAAGTTAGTTTTCCAAAACGACGTCCAATTTTGATTATATGTGCTCTGGTGAGCTTGTTAACAATAAGAAATAAATTAAACTAAAGAATTATATCGCGCACTTATCAGTAGCCTGAGAAAACAGCTCACATTTGGCGAGGCTACCATTGGTTTCCCCGCCAAATGACGTCTGAGAAACGAGCGCAGAAATTTCATACTGATGACGCGTCACTACCCAGATCTGGGTAGTGCTTCTGATTGGTTGAATCAAATTTCCCACGCGGCACGACCAATCAGAAGCACTACGGGTAGTGACGCGTCATCAGTATCGAATTTCTGCGCTCGTTTCTCAGACGTCATTTGGCGGGAAAACCAGTGGTAGCGTCGCCAGATGTCGGCTGTTTTCTCAGGGTAACTTATCACTTGCGTTTTATGGCGCTCAGTGTCATCTACTCGATAAGTTAGAGTCATAAAGAAACTTGTAAGACTGGATCTGTTAACATTTTCCCTTTTGTGACATGACTGTGTTGTTCCCGGCGCGTAGTCACTCGAAGATTGTATGTCGTAGCATCCTCGGCCTGTACATCCATTAGTAAATCGATGTGTGTAAGCCTTGCCGATGCCACTGTTTTTTACTTGTTTTTTCCCAGCAAATATACTAAAAGCGGCAGTTTCATCCACGATTCTTCAGGTTGCACTCTGTCCTTACTATGTTCTTTGTTCAAACCAACCCTTAGCGATTTCTTAGAGAATAAGAATGCAATATTAACAATGTAAAAGTGACTCAGTCTTAAAGACTTTCAAAGATAACGAGTCTTGCAAATTGTCCAGTGTCTTCTAGAATCACTTGGATTTCTGCCAATCAGACAGCTGATCTCGACGGGAGCGTGACACTGGGATGTACAGCGATTGGGCGGCCAACACCCCGTGTTATGTGGAAGAAAGAAGGGAGAATTCTTTTAGAGAATCAAGCTACTGCCAACATCACTCTTAACATTGCAAAAGAACACCATGGTATCTTCGAGTGTTGTGCAGTTAACATTGTCGGAAAGGACACGAAAACTACGGCTGTTGATGTCCGAGGTTGGGATAACAAACAGTTTGTTTGATTATATCATTCGTTTCTCTACAAAAAGTGCCGGTAATCAAAAATGAAATTGAACGTAGATCTCATCTATTTTGGTCGTAAAATACTGGACTAAAGACACAAAATACTTTGCAAACGTACAGGTTTCTTTGAAATTTTTTGACAACATTGTTGGAAACGACTCGAAATCTACGGCTGTTGATGTCCAAGGTTGGGATAACAAACAGTTTGTTTGATTATATCATTCATTTTTTCTACAAAGAATAACCGTAATCAGAAATTAAATTCAAACTAGGTGTCATCTATTTTTGTTGCAAAACATTGGACTAAAGACACATAATACCTTGCAAACCCATAGGTGTCTTTGAATGGTCACGCTGGAGAAATAATGGCAGAAATCTTACCAGTACGTAGAATCACAAGACATTTCTTCATAAATGAATTTAGGAAGGAAGTTCATTCTTTTAATTTGTACCATTGAAAAGGATTTGTGCATTCGTCATTCAAACTTTGGGTCGATTCAATTAGGATTAACCTTAGGAGCTCGAAAGAGCTCAATTCAAAGCATACATACCCTTTTGTGGTTCGATGAGAAAGTGATGATTTGTAGGAAAATGCAACAAGAGGAAGTTTTCTTTTTTCTTTTCTTTTTCTTGCTTATAGGAAGCCCAAGGAAAACCTTCATTAGGACAAACCTGCCTTACAATGTGGCTGTCAAAGGACAGGTTGTTATGCTTTATTGCTCATCTGATGGTTTCCCAGAACCGGTTTGTCAGTTTTACAAGGATGAGCAGTTAGTGAGCGTAAATGGGAGTGGTTACATTGTTCAGAACTTCACAGCGGCAGATGAAGGTGAATACACGTGCAAGTGCTCTAATGTAGCTGGTGAAGACATGGCTAACATCACTCTTGTTTTATATGGTAAGTAAATACTAAGAGGATACCCTAAACTTTGGCAGATTGAAAGACGTCCGTCTCATTAGACCTATGAATAAAAAAATCAATTCAAGTCTTCGATAAAGATGGGGTGTAAATCAGGATGTTGATTTTAAGTTATCTGCCCAGTTTTACATGCCACAGAAAACTTCCTGGCTTACAAGTCAAAAGGGGAACTTGCCGTTTTGCTCAAAGTAGGAACTTTTAAATCGATGATGAGGCCGACAGATCTAGATTATTTATAGCCATGAGACTTGTTTAAAAGTTGCAAGTTTTACTCTTGTTTTTAGAAGACTTGAAAGAAAGATTGACATGTTTAGTGGCAACAGCATCAGCCCTGTAGTGCAAACATAGACTGCTAGCAGTGTCTTATTTTTCTTTTGTGTCACAGTAGATCAAGAACACGCGCTCCTGTCTCCGCTCCAATCTCTCCTTCTTTTACCATTAATTTGCACAATTTTACGTTTTTGCTCGCCACTCGTGGCTCTGAGGAAAGAAGGACGACCGCTTGCGGTCTATTAGAAACATCTCATGAGCTCTTTTTTGTATTTTTACTTTCAAATAGAGTCGCCACGTATCCACTCCATTGTTCCCGTTCATCAGTTTGTCAACGAGACAAGTAACTTCACGATTTTCTGCAATGCCACGGGTTACCCACTCCCAAAAATAATATGGAGAAGAGCAGGCAACAGCAGCGTGATACTTTCTTCAGAAAAGACATTGACAGTACAAAATGTTGGCAAATCGGACATTGGAACCTATGATTGTACAATCGTGAGCGTGAGTGGAGAGAATGTTACTGCTGAAGCTTCAGTTGAGCTGGATTTTTGTAAGTCTTTCCCTGAGAGGTGTTTTTCTTTCACCAAATGGAGGATTCGGAGAACATAACTTCCCTCCACTTCCACCAGTCCTTCCCTCTTTATATAATGAGCGGTTCCTTGGTAGTTCTTTTCTAAAAATAATGTTCAGAAACGCTTTTGTAATGATTCCTTAAGGGGAGTCGTTCAGCCTTTATGTGTTTAACCGATACATCATTAGGTAGCCTGTTTCAGGCTCCGAGATAGTCGAGTCCGCGAAATTGAGAAAGCGCGATGGGGAACAGGAAAATAAAAGGAGAGGAAACTTGACAGAGGAAGGGCGGCACCGCCCCCTTTTCCCAGATCACGCACTCATATTTTCGCGTGTCTTTTAACTTACGCGTCATCCCTACTATCTGAGAGCCTGGAACAGGCTAGTCAATAGGCCATTTGTACGATGGCCTCATTTTACTACTACGACCAGACTCCTTTTCGCTTTTCCTTTCATATTTAAATTTGGTAATCCCAGTGAGGTTGGAAAAACAAAAGCTTTTATTTACACTAGAAAGCAAAACCCTGAAGGATTCTGGTCGTAGTAGTGAAATGACGTCATCATACTAATGGCCTATTACTAAGCGATGCTTTCCAGTTGTTGAGTATTTTATGTTGGTTTATAACAAACCTACGAATAGCGTGCACTGCGATTGGTTAGCTCGGAGGTGACAAAATACTACTATAATTTTAGGATAGTCATTTTACTGGTTTGTAATATTAATAATAATATTTATTGATTTGTTTTGCGCAAATATCATTTTTTAAAAAATTTCTTCTACGCATTACATAAATTTCTCAATTTCCTACTTAAAAATCCTATATTAATCTAAAATAAAATACACTCCTAGTAGACATCCCAATTCTTAAAACTCTAAAAACAATGACCAATCATTCCTTAAGATCCTATTTAGAAATCCTATTTGATAATTTAGAAAAATAATGATAAATTAGCTAGGAAACGCCTTCTGAAACATATTAGCAGACTGTTTCAGCACCTCGGTAAGTAATTGTTAAATATTTCTACTTCTAGTCTCACCAGTTTTTGATAAAATCCCTCGCAACATCACTGTCCTGGAAGAAGAAAGACGCACTGTAACACTACGCTGTAATGCCACAGGCAGGCCAACGCCAAGGTTGTCTTGGTTAAGAGTAAGAGACGGCGTCACATTAGCCTCCGGAAATAACCTACTTATTACTAACGCTGACAGATCATTTCGCGGGGAATACAGATGTGTTGCAGACAATGGTGTTGGCAATCCAGTCTCTGTGTCAGCATATCTTGATGTACATTGTAAGTGGACTTCAAAAACGTAATAATATTCAGTAGATGTATTGTCCAATGCACTTCACTAATCTAATCCCATGTAAGGACCTTTATATTGCAATGCTGAGCGAGAAGGGGGAGGGAGGAATACAGGCCAGATTAAGTGCTCGAGCTGTTTTTATTGCAGACAACTACAAAAGCACACTATCATCCGGGAACCTCCGAATATATGACGAAACCTGCGACCGTTCAAAACTTTTTCTAAAAAAAAATACGAAGTTTTTCAACCTAGAAAACACCAAACTAATCCATTTCTGTGATACAACTGCCACCGCGCCGAGAATGAGTTGGCAGTTGAGTCACAAACAATTCTTTCCAGTCACTGAATCGTTTGCAATTCCGCAGAATCAAATAAAATGCCAGCTATATCGCGTCACAGTTAGATTAAGCGACACTTTCTTGGGGCAATATTTTCCCTCCTGTATAATTATTAACCGTGGAAGTTTTTTTCATTTGTATTGCCGTATTGCGAAGGCAGGAAGACGCTTCGGGAAATTGCATAAACAGTCCTATATACAAGGTCCTTGTAGATACAACTTCTAGTTTGAGCTTTCTTCGACTACTTAAAAGCATCGAAATAAGTTGCGACCTTCTGAGAATGAGTGATTATTTTCCTTAGATACAGCGTCTTCCACAAGCCTGACCACCGATAAACTGAATGCGGTAGTTATAGGGAATGGTCATATTATACTGACGTGCCTAACAGATGCCAACCCACCTCCCAGTCAATACCTGTTTTATCATAATGGAGTTTACTTTAAGACAAGTCTGACGGGGAAACACCTGATCCCGAAGGCTAAGTATTCTGACGCCGGAACCTATCTTTGTGCACCACTTAACAGTCTGGGATTTGGAACGAATGGCTCGGTCATTGTTTCTGTCTATGGTAATTATTCAATGTATCTTTGTTTATTTTTCTTCTGGCAAACTTGACTAGCTTATGTAGCTTGCGGTATTGTTGCAGCTTGTCACGAGGAATGAACCGTGTGCTACGCAGGCTATACTCCTTGATCAAAACGAGTAAGGAACTGTAGCAATTTCACGCGTACGTAAATGGAGTATATCTTCCAAAGAATGTATAAAAGTTGAGCCGTGATATCAAGCTGTCCACCATCAGTCAGATAAATAAAATGCACGTTAACACTCCTCAAGTTATATGTGTTACAAACAAATCGTTAGCGTTGACACCATAAGCTATCCTTAAAGTGCTTTATCACTATATCTCTTAAACTTACATAAAAAAGTTAAAAATTTCTTTAAGACAGCGAATATACCGTTTTACAGTTATGAGCTTAGTACCCTAGCCTCTGAGTGAATGTGAGGCTGAGGTTGACCTTGTTCTGATACAAATCTCTTCTTATGAAAATAATGCGAAAAATAATAGTTAACGTTGTATCAAAACAAGGTCAACTCCAGCCTCGTTTCCACCTGTAACTGTAAGGTGGACTATTTAATCATGGGTAAAACAACCTACTTTAAATAGATTACTTTTCCAATACAATGATTTTTAAACCTCTTATCCATTTCTAGGTGCTTTGTCGATCATTCGCTTCCCGCAAAACAAAACTGTGACCGAGAACGGAAGCGTAACATTTTTCTGTAATGCGACTTCCTATCCTCCACATGCAATTCTTTCACCGCACATCACGTGGAATAAGCTGGGAGATAAGAATAAAGTGTTTCCACCGGGAGAGCAGCTTGTTTTACAGAATGTTGGTCGGCACGATGGAGGAACGTATGTTTGCAAGGCGGAAAATGGACTGGGATTTCCCGACACAGCTGATGCTGTTCTGAGTGTGCTACGTAAGTACATTCATGCTATTAATAAAAAAAAAAAATATGCGAAAGGAAATAAGACTTACTGAGGCTCACTTTCACCTTCTTGTTTACATAACAACGTCAGTTAACAGTGTCAGAGGATTTTTCGCGAGAGAGCTTGTTTGCCATATCCTTGATACTTCAAGAATGGCAAATGCAGCGACATCTTCATTATGGTTCTCGACATTTGTGGAGTAAACACATCCGGCAGTTGATAAGACGGTATAGAGGGCGTTTGTGGCGGCGCAGGTGCTGCTTTCGTTTAATAATTATGATAGTTGTGAAGTATCTAATACATTCAACCCCATTGTCCATCCTCTTCAGATAAACCTTACGACACTAAACTGGAGGCTTCAGTTCCAGACAACATTGGGGTAATCAACTCGTCCATCGGGTTAACTTGCACTGCGCATGCCAACCCACCTGTTACCGCGTACAACATTTATCACAGTGGCATCCTGGTTTCTAATTCATCCAGTGGAACTTATAACGTAACACGTGCTCTTGTAGAGCATAGTGGATTCTACATGTGTATACCTTATAATGATCTTGGTCGCGGAGGAAAAGCTTCTCTAAACGTTAGTTTTGTAGGTAAGCTATAAAGTCAGAAATACGCCACTTGCACTAAGAGGAAACGTGACCACTGCTTCCTTTAAACAATGAGTTGGAATCTTGCTGATGCCAAAAATTGACAGAGCACATAAAAGTTATCTTATGCCTGAAATTTGAGAGGAAACGAATTTAAGGGAGATATTTTTTGGCACTTTGATTTTTCAGCAAAGTAGTATGATTTGTACTGGCCGCCATGTTCGAGTGCATTCACTTGCCCTCCAACAAGGCGGCCAAAACTACTCTTTGCTTCTGACAGTTTCGCTCAGATGTGCGGTAAACGTTACCACATCATCTTTTCAACATTTGCCTTGAAGTTTAAGCGCAAAATTTGTGTTCAGAAAGAGGTAATTCGTAAATTTAAAAATCACATTTTGGTCACGTGACCAGCTACAAACTTACTCATTTTAAGAAAATGGTGCGGGTTTGAAAAACCAAATCACTATTATTTTGTTTAAGATATGACCACTAATCGTTTTTCGAAAGCAAAATCATATAAGTTTCATTTTTATAAAAATGATGTCACAAGACCTCCTAGTGCAAATGGCCTATTGTTTTGATATTGACGTACTGGAAGTGAAGTGAATTAAACCAAGCTTTTCACCCTTAAAATAAAGATGAAATACCTTGGGCCATCGTTTTTAATCGAGGATTATATGGTATTGCCATGGGGCACCCCCATACCATTCACAAACCAAAAGCTTGGAGAAATACATAGCCTTCCCTTAGCATTAGACAATAGAGTGGCAATAGAACAAGGCAGAGATATATCTATGAGATTGATGTGTAAGGCGATAGTCCACATCAACTCCACGTAATACACATATGGGCCAAAGCTCTTCCCGTATCATTACCAAGCTTGGACCATATATATCCCATACCATTTGATTTCATAAGGGTTTATATTTTAAAACGGAATGTTACCTACAATCCACCTTTGAGAGAATAACGGCAGTCCGCCCCGCTACATCAAAAAATAAATTTTGAAAATATAAAAGCGCCAGTTATGAGTATTTGACCACAAGTCCGTTATTCTTCTTTTACAGGTCCCTGTGGTGTTAAGCGGGTTCACGTTTCTTGGTCGCCGCAGATCGTAGGAGGAGTGGCCGCTAAGCCAGGAGAGTGGCCATGGCAGGCTCAGTTAAAATACTCTGACGATGGTGGAAACTCTTATCACATCTGTGGTGCATCCATTCTGGATCATTACTGGATTGTTACCGCAGCGCATTGCGTTGTGGGTAAAAATACAACTAGTTTGAATGTCACTGTTGGTAGGTACTCTGAACAGAGAGATATCGATAGAATGCATTCGATTAGCCTGCTTGGCAAGCGTCGAAAAGGCCCTGGGGGACTCCCATATGAAAAGGGCGGGGATGCTCGTCGTCTTGCTTAGGGGTGTAAAACTCAGATTTTGGTCTCGCTTAGGGTGTTCTGGGCAAAAAGACATAGCCCTAAAGGTCTCTTCTAGGGTTGCACTCGAAGAAATATTGAAAAATTATATATCTTAATTCGTTTTATTTACTCGATTCATGTGCTCAAAGTTTAAAATGATCGCTTTTAGGTGCCACGCCCAGATTGGTCTCCTTTAGGAGTTTACTTCAAAATTTCCGACGAGCATCCCCGCGCCTTTCATGTGGGAGTCCCCCCGGGGCGAAAAGGGTGGGGCAGGCTAATATGCGATCTGTTTGTGGCCTTCCTTTCAAAACAATGTCTGATGTGAGCAACACATACCCAAAAGACCTATTTTCAAATGAAGGGTAGTGTAGGAGAAATAAAGTTCAGCGGTAGTCGAAACTGACTTTATATCTTACAAAGGTAATTTACCGCTGAGAAACTTTCAAGTTTGGGGAAACAAGAGCAACATATGTAATGGAAAATATTTTTCATCGTAAATAATGTGTAGTGTGAGCTTTATCTGTTGTCGACTCTTGCTTATAGAAACGTTTTTGTAAGGAAAAAGAAAAGAACGGGTTTCCACCGTAGTCAAGGTTTCTCCTTCAGTTCTGATAACTATTTAATAATCATAAATTGTGGCATTTTGAAATTTCTTTCCGTTAATCCTCAGGAGAACTTGTCAGAGGAGTTTTCGAAGGAACTGAACAAAACCTCGCCGTAGAAAAGATAATCGCTCACGAAAACTTTAATCATCATACTCTTGAAAACGACATCGCTGTCATGAGCCTCAAGCAGGCAATTCTCTTCAACACACATGCGTCACCAATTTGCCTACCCAAGATGGACTTCCCTATTGGCACCACTTGTTACGTCACAGGCTGGGGTCGATTGGGACCTCTTGGATCGCCCTCAGTTGTTCTTCAAGAGACCACTGTTCCTCTTTTAAATCACACTTTGTGCAAGAAGTATTATAGCAAGAATAACATAAACGTCGTGACATCAGACATGCGCTGCGCAGGGACACTTACACAAAGTCAAGGCACATGTAAAGCGGACAGTGGTGGACCGCTGACATGTGAACGAGGCGGCCGTTGGTATCTGCTTGGTGTCACAAGTTGGACTAATGGTGGCTGCATGGATCAAGGAGACCCGGGAGTGTTTGCCGATGTTTTGTTCTTCAGGAACTGGATTGAAAACAATATAAGGTCAAACACGAGAACAAGCGCTTAGATTTATTGGGAAGTTTTGAATAAATGGCAGGTGATCAGAATCGAGATCACGCACTAAGGACAGCGATAAAATTTACACTCAAGTCACCAAGAACAGACAGAAATATCTTGATGAAGAAGGAATATAAGGTGCTGGCCAACATGTCTTCATAGGTCCGGTCTTATGTTGGACAGTTGGGCGGTTGGCAGTATTCAGTACACGAGGAAGGTTTGCACCCTCATCCGTACTCTCTCAATGTTGGCCTTAAATAGCATCAAGGTATTCCCAATGGCGAAGTTGGGGAAAGAGGGGATGATACTACAAGAACGAGCATTCTCGTAAGTGGAATGCCCTCCTTGACAAACCCTGTTTGAACTCACCGCTCACAAAAAGCCAAATCTTTCCGAGGGCCTTCGTTAGCAAGATTTCTGAAAGACGTGCATTCACTGCGTCGACTGTGAAACTATAACAGCACCTACACAGGAAGTTAAGCAAGAGATATACTTTTATTTTTTTACATATAGAAATAGTACTTGTAGCGTTTGCAAAATAAATCAAAATTGATTATATTTTGATTTTATATTGAGACGGAGAATTATTTTTTAGAAAAAAAATATTTACTAACTGACGAGAACGATATTCTGCTAACACACATTTCAGTTGTCGATTGTATTTATTACAAACTAATGATGTATAGATACAACACGTATAAAGTGTTCATAGCTATTTTGTGGCAGTTTCTCTGTTCATGGTTAAATATTCTTGGCCTGTTGATCCGGGCAAAATCCTTTCCATTTGCCGTTTTATGGTGCCTCGGTGTCCCGTGACTGTCAAGCCTTTGGTTTTATTATGTCATGAATTTCTGTTCGAGTTCTACTTTGTGACATGTAATCTCACGTGGTTTCTGTTTTCTTTTATGGCGTTTTCTGTGTATGGTGTGCATTCATGTTCATATATTAGATGTTGTGCTCTTCTTTTTTAATGACCTTACATGAATTCTGGTGCGATTCCTTGACAGGTTTGTGGACATATAGTGTCTCGTTTATGTTACAGTATTTTATTTTAGACATGGCAGAAGGACTGACTTTCTTCAGCACTTTAAAGTGGTTGTAAGAGGTTCACTTACTTAATGCGAAGGTTTTTAAACATAAAATATGGAACAATTGAGTCAACATTGAATGATATAATCTCAACCCTGCAGTGTTATTGACTTTGTCAAGTTTTGTTTTGTTTTACCGCTGAGTTCATTAAGTTTACCGCCCGGTGCAGCAGGATCGACCTAAGGACTCTTTCTGATTCTTACACAAAGTTCTCTTTTATGTTGTTGAAAATTGTTAAGGCGTGGAAGAAGGATCGAAGTAACTGTGGGAACTCTTGGTCGAAAATAGAGAAGTTGGATAGTACAAGAAAATACTTTAAGCTGAAATGATATACCCAAGAAAAATTTCGGCTTATACCTTCGAAAGAGAGAAACATTAAAACACGCTCGGCGTATCCACGAGTTAAGAACTTTTAATTAAGGTATTTGCGTTCATGACATATCCTTTCAAACTTCATGTTACTGAAAACGTTCTGTGTTTTGAAACTTTTAGCGTTGTCTCGTGCTCATGGTATTTCTCGAATAGTGGGTAAGCTGGATTGAATTTCTCACCAATCTGGATTAATTTCTTTGCTATTCACTTAAGTTATACGAGGGTGTTATCACTTGTGTAAACATTCAATTAAAAAGTCACAAACCTACATAAACTCAAAACAACTTGTATTACAAAATTTCATTCTATGTTAATCCATAGTTCCAAGTTCCTTGTCAGTTCCAGTGGTCGAGGTGAGAATAACGCGTTGACGCTTTATTCACCATCCAGCTTGCTACTTGTGCGCTCTTTTACCGCCTTCTCTCTTGATGCATGTATCAAGAATCGGTCCACCTATAAATCACTTCGCTCCTCTGAAAAGCCGGACATTCGAGCGTGAAAAAAAGTAGTCATTTGTTTTAGGGGTAAAAGTTCAATGAAACAAGTGGAGTTAAATGAGCCTTTTTAAAAAATATTTAATTTATTTGTACTTTTTAATTATTCACTTTCTTATTAATTTTATGTTGTCATTTTTTAACCCTCGCCTTTTTCAGGTACGCCCGCTCGTGCGCACCGCGCGTACATGTAGGTTTTCTGTCAATCTCATGAGGGAGAGGTGTTAAAATATGAAATTGCACATCTGGGGCTTCTTTCAAAAGACTGCGTACTTTGCTGTTTAAACACGTATTTCTTTAAGTCAAAAAAAAAAAAAAACATTAACCAAAGACTGCAAGGTTATACGGGTATCATCAAACGGATTAGCGAAAGATAACTTTTCTTTCTCAGGAAAACCTTACGGAGTTTAGCTGAATGGCCTTTTGGTTGAACGTTTGTTAAGAAAATTACATGAATCGCAAAATCTATTTCCACAACTTTTCGCAACAATTTTGCAAAAAATGGTGTTGCCAATGCGAACGAAAAATCACGTCTATGATAACTATAGCCTGGAGAGTCTTTGGACCGGAGTATTCGTGAGCGTGATTCACCCATGTTGTTAGGTAACCGTCGCACAACTAAATGAAAAGTGGAAAAATCCTGCTGCAATTTGTTTGATGTTACTCTACAATTTGAATTCATTGATTATTAATGCAGGCAAAAGCCAATAGATAACGACCATTTGGTCTGGTGGATGAATCTTGATACCTATTAAAATATCAGATAAAACACCACCAGGTTTTCATCCGAGATGAAACATGTCTTTCATCTTAGAGCAAACACTTGCATTTAAATGAGACCTTTTATTGATACAGACTACTCATGGAAACAATGCAGTACCAGAGAAAACAGGTCAGTGCATAATTTCTTACTGTTTCATTGGAGAAGACATGTCAAAAAGTTGGGATTCGTGCTTCATCAGGTTCTAAACGCTTGTTGATGAAGCAAGAAGCCCGAGTTTTTGACATATGACGTTAAACACTCTTTACTTCTTCGCTTGTTTTTGAACTTTGAGTTGTTGCATTTTGAGAGTTGGAATTCTTGATTTATTGACTTTTTTCTGTTGGTACCGAGGCACAGATTGCGAACAAAAGAAACAATACAACCAAACAATAAACCCTTTACATTATCGTGTTGATGTTACCTACGAGTCTATTTGGTACCCAGAAAGACTGAAAAGTCTTTCCCACTGATGTTGGTATGTTGAGATGCTACTCGTAAAAAACAAACAGGACGTTTCGTCACAAGGTCTGCTCAAATCATTAATTTTTCACAAGGATATAGAAACCCCTAATGTCGCACACCTGCTTTGTATATGAAAGGTAATGACTCTGAAGGTAAATTTCAAAGACCTGCTCCTAAGATCAGAAGCATGGAAGTATCATACAAAAAGACCAGAAAAAGGACGCAAACTGAAAATGGTCAGGTGAATGATGACGTTCCATTTAAGAAATAGAGGATATTACATGGCCTTGCGGAGACACTAAATTTCTCTTCGAAATATTTCACGAGTGCACACGCGCCTCAGTGAATGGTATTTTCGCATGTGAAGGTATCACGATTTTGCGCGAAAGCTCACTTGGTATTTTACCGGTGTTTATATAATAAAGTTGCTCTTGATGATAGTGTAATAATGGTGAAAACATTGACCTTGATAAGCTCTCTTTCACCAATGGAGGACCAGATAAATGTCCTAGTGTTTATAAAAGAGAAGTAGCTACACAGACAAAAGCGAAGAGGAAAAAAAGAGGGCATATTTCATCAATTAAGCAACATGTCCTAAACAGTGTCATCAATATACACGTTATACTAGACCTAAACTTGATTCAGTATTTTAATTTTTAGAACCGCAAAGGCCACTAAGATTCATTACTGGAGGGGTAGTGAGAATACCAAAACATAACGAAAAAAAGAAAAATAAAAAGACTGCTACATGTGTCAACGATGAAGGTGTTTTGACAGGGAAAAGGGAGCAACTTTTTATTCTTACGATAAAATGTTTCGATGTGAAATTCCTGGCTGATACTTTTGGTATTTCACCAGTTCTTGTCCCAAGAACTGTCATTTTCAGTTCCATGGCCTTCTAGATCAGAAGTGAAAAGTCTCTTGATTTGAGAATGTGAGAATTATTATGAGTAAAGAAATCAAGTGAAACCAACAATTGCCCCACAACAAAAGCGAACTTTATTCTGATGCAAACAACACGTGTTGATAAAAATCACGTGATCTAATCGCACAGTAGAACCAATCATAACTAGAATAACAATTGACTGTCTGGAACCAGGAGCCGATTACTAATCGGCTCCTGCTGGAACTGTTTATTCAAAAACCAAAAAATCTCTTCAAACCAAACGATTACTTTGTGTAGTTACAAGCACTGGATTAGGAACGCTGCTAAGTTGTTAGTTTGAATAACACCAACTGATGTTATTTCATTTATTCCTCCTCTAGTGACCTCCGCTCTTCACAAAATTACGGCGAAAATGGGTTATCTAAAGTCCACACAACACTATTCTAACGAAGAAACAACTCTACGCCATACATTTCATTTGCACTGTTTGCTCCTCCTGGCGACCCCAGAATCCTTTTCTCGGATAAGTCTCCGATTACTGGAAAATCATTTATTCTTAAGATCATGCTTAACCTCATCCAATCAATTGCTAAATATGAGATATCAACTATATTTTGATTTGTTCTTAGTTTTAAGTGACCTCGTCACTAGGGCTGGGTCGGGGTTGGAATTTAAGACTTTTTGGCTTGCGTAGCGCTGGGTAGTTCTTAATCTGTCAAACATTTGTATTACGATTCTTTGCCTCGGAAGGAAAATTTGACGTTAGATCTCGGGTTACTCCAAAAACGTTTATACCGAGAGGCTCCGGTTTAAGGTCCAACGCCCCTACCTTTTACATAAAATTTTTGAGAGAAAAGGTACCCCTTTCGTATACATTCTACAGACAAATGGTACCCCTTTCACATACACTGTCTGGAGTGGTGACTGTCCCATATGTCCACTCAGTCACGGAGAAAATACAACGTATATTCACAAAACACGCGGTAGCCACAGTGGTTAAACCTCAAACCACCCTCAGACAGGTTTTAGTTCACCCGATGGACAAAGTTGATAAGCAAAATATGCTGGAGTGGTGTACAAAATTCCATGCAACCAATGCGAAAAGGTATACATCAGTGAAACCGGGAGACAGCTGGGAAACAGGATCACAGAACACAGAAAGGAAGCAGAAAAGATCTCTGACAGAAATTTCACAAGATCCACCCGCAGAGCTTCTACCAATGAGCACCACAAAATCAGCCATAACAGACCATGTCTGTCACTATAATCATATTATGAATTGGGAAGGAAGTGAAATAGTTGAGCAGGAAAGCGACACGTTTAAGAGATCGATCAAGGAAAGCATATTATGTGTTAGATCGAACACTCCTACTATGAACAGGGACGAGGGAGCCTATCAGCTTTCTCCCATGTGGACACAAGTGATCTCCACCCCCAACTAGGGGAGGGGGCGTCTACAGAGTGACCTGGCGCGTTTATCGCAATAAGTAACACCTTCAGAAGCCTATTTAAGGCTTCTGACACCTTTGACGATTTCCAAGTTTTGACAAAGGTGGCTGACAGTCATCGAGACTGTCGGCATCATTAAGACTTAACGACTTAGGCTATGTTTTTAGAACATTTAAAGAGATATGCACTTCTAAATATGAATAAATTAAAAAACCATTTTCACTGGTGTAAAATGCATTTATTAGCCCTTTTGTCCATTTTACGACCGAAATGACAGATTTCCCTTCCCTTTTACATACTCGCTAACTAGTGAAATCTACGTGAAGCTTAAATAAAAGCACCCCATTCAGGCGGAGCTCTCCCGTATAGGCCACTATAGGGAGTACCCCCAGGCATTGAATAAATTATCTCATCTTAACTTATCTCTCGTCCGGGACATGGAATTTAATCAAGAGGATGACGTCACACTGTTACTATGACTACAGCCCTGCGTTATTGCGCGAACTGTTGGGTTTATGGTATCAGTCACGTCGGCAATCGATCGCATTCCGTTCATTGGTCTTTCCTGGGTCACTTCACCAAATTGAACACGCTCTAAGAAAATAATTTGCTGTGAGTATGAAGACAGCCTTGGCCTTTCTCATCGCATGCTTGTGTGCAGTTGCTAGGTCCCAGACTGGAGGAAACAAAGCTTCAGTGGGAAGTGACACCTTGTCTGATGGCAAAGTCGTTGTGCAACAACTTTGTAATTCGGGTGCTCCTACAAATGAAATCAGCGCCCTCAAGAAAGAAATTAAGCAACTGAAAGAGGAATTACTTCAACGACTAGACGAGAAGTTCAGCAAAGGTAAAGAGAGCAATAAAAATTCTGACCATGATTTCTTTCACACTAGCTCACACTGTATTGTGTGCAACCTAACTTCAACTTACTGCAGATTCCGACTGGACATAGAATGCTTTAACCTTTGCAGTACAACAGTCCTGATAGCGATTCGTATCGGAACTGATTATTGCTCTGGGAGAGCTAGCCATTTTATTCTTCTATTACTGTTGCTTAGCCAACCCTATCGTGTAAAAAATGCACCTTGGCCAGCTCTTTCAGCTTGTCTCACTTATTATTCTCATTTTCCATTTGAATAAAACCCCTTGCCCCCTGCAAAAATTCTCAATCGATTGTGTAATTTTGTTGCAAAGGTTTATTTTTACGTGAACTCGAGCCCTCTTTCACTACAATCTGAAATTAGAGCCTGGGTATTAAAAACTTGAGTGCTGTGAAAATCCTGTCGCGTTTATTTTTTGCGCAAACCATTCACCCTGGGTGGTAAATTGAATATGGCAGCTTTGTGAGAAGGCTTCCTGCACCATAGTAATGATTTTCTAACTATGTAATTGCGTAAAAAGTTTAACTTACGATCGGAAAGCTAGGAATAAAACAGATTTCTCAAATTGAAATTATTTACTTAGCTGTTTAACAGTGGGATTAAAAATAGTAGTAACAACAAAATGATTTTTACGTCACTTAAAATACTATGCGCCTTGACGGATGTTGAAGGTTGATGTCACTGGAAAGCTTAATGTTCCAAGACGAAATTGTGAATTAGTTGACAAAAAGTCGAGACTAAGAAATAATGTCGCGTTCTTTTAATTTGTCTTGCTCGGTTTCGATTGATTTCTGATTACGCTGCTGTAGTAGCCAGGATAATGGATCGTTTAAAGTCACCGAGTGGAACTTTTCATGTGCAGAAAAGTTACTTAATCATAAAAAATAAAAGACAAACAGCGCTGATAAACATTGTGAGTTTTCGCATTTTCATAAACTTGACGTTTCGTATGCAATTCAACATATATTTTCAAAAGTGATCTAAAGTGACTCAGTTAAAGAAAATGACGAGACTATATATATTTAAAAAGCACAAGGGGTCTGGAAACGACATTAAGAATTTAAAATTCTTAATAGTAATGAATACAAAAGGCAACAGCTAATAAAGCATCATCTTTTCACTGCTGACGTTGACTCGGTCAAGAACCGAACAACTGATAAAACCGGACCGACATATCGACCGATATCAGTATCGAGGACACCCCCTGTAAGACAAATTATTTTTCATTCAGGATATTTCTTCATCCCTGATTGGCTTGAATAAAACATCACTTGATAAGGCCGACGTTAGGGGGAGCAGCTTGTTTCGATCGAAGTCTTTTCAGTTTGCTGACAACGGCTTTTAAATTTGTCAAAAATGCCGTACCAAATAACCACGAGTAACCTGGTCCAGTACAATCGATAAAATCCAAATAGGAAAACCAGTCTGTAAAATCGACAACTATCGATAATTCATAGCTAATATTGATATCGATATCCATTTATCTATCAATCGATAAAAATAAATGGCCACATCGATTCTATCGATTTCACTGGCTTCGAGGACAGATGGTTTTCCTAACCCCCCTACTTCCAATAAAATACATTGGAAATTGCACTTCTTCAGATGAGCGTGTTTGAAGAAGACGCGTTAAGCTTGGAATCGGCAATATCTTGGAAGCTGCAAGGATTTTGCTCACAAACTGTACCACACTGAAAACTATGTTGAGCACTGGGCTACCCTCAAGAGTTGAAATGTCGTTCTAACATGTTATCAAAACATTCATGGAATAGTGGTGATATTTTGTAAGTGAAGCCTTTCTTTTCTAATGTTTCCCTACTCTAAAACATGTTGAAAAACTTAGCCCCTATAAAATCGATAATTTTGATAAGAACCAATTAAGTTAAATAAAAAATTTATAATTATTGATTGGTCATAACTCTTCCACTATCGATTTTCGATTCAATTAATCAACTTTATCAATTGTTATCAAATGTTATCAATTGTCGGATTTTTGCGGATTGCATACATACCCAAGATGTGCACGGACTGATTAAAACGAAGGCCTATAAAACTCAGTTTCATAAATTGTATTTTTTTTCTTTAGACCCATGGATTAAAGTAAATACTGCGCCAGTGTGTTTTGGTGCGAGAGGTGACCAGTTTGGTAAGTTCTTTGTTCCATCCAGTGGCAAACTAGCCTCAGTGAAATTGGTCCACGTCTATGGTTATGTGACGTGTGATAAGAACATAGCTTACCATTAGTCTTATTGGGGATGCGGGAAGCACTCTAGTTTGACAAATCATGTAGACGCTAGAGTAACAACCTCGGACGGTCAAGTTCTTTTGCCTTCAAGCCAGTTCATCACTGACGTGACACGCAAGTGGTCGTTGATTCCTGGTTACAACTCGCTTTCTCCAGAGCTGGTGCTGTCTGCTTTCTCCAACTCTCCAAACGTTACTGGAGGACAGGAGCTACGTCTGTGGTATGGAGAAGATCTGGCAAATAGCAGTGAGGCGGACAATGGAGGAAAGTCGTGCTGCGATATTTATGCTCGTTTCATATGAATATCAGTTATTAAAAGCTATTCATATGCCGCTTATTTGTAGAAACGTTTATGGGATAATTTCATTTAAGTTTTTGATTCATGAGTATAAAGTGTAGTTAAAAAATTTCCCCATTTACTTCGGTTTGCAGTAAAAAAAATCTTAAAAGCAGTTAATAAATTAAAATAAACTCGCATTCGCACTGGCAGGGAACAAATTGAAGCAAGTAGATAACTTCAAATACCTTGGTTCGTGGATACAATCCAGTGAAAAGGACATGAACATAAGAATTGGACAAGCTTGGAGTGCACTCAACAAAATGATGAAAGTGTGGAAATCAAACCTAAAAAATCATCTCAAAATAGGTTTCTTTCGGGCCACAGTTGAAAGTGTACTGCTTTATGGTGCTGAATGCTGGACGATGACTGGAAAGATGCTGAATAGACTAGATGGTACGTACACAAGAATGCTCAGAGCAGTTCTTGGAGTTTCCTGGAAGGAGCATAAAACCAACAAAGAACTGTACGGCAACCTTCCTAAGATTACAGATACACTGATGATCAGGAGGCTGCGGTTTATAGGACACTGTTGGAGAAAAAAGGATGAGGTGATAAGTGATTTACTACTCTGGGAACCAAAGCACGGCGCAAGAAAGAGAGAAAGACCAGCATTAACATACGTAGACCAGCTGCAAAATGATACTGGTTTGAGCATAGCTGAACTGAAGAACATTATGGAAAACCGGAAGGAATGGATGAAGCTAGTTCGAGTTCGCTCGAAATAAGTAAGCAAGAAATAAGCAAACTCGCATTATCTTTCAGTGCTTGTTATGTTTTCTCGTACGTCAAATATGCGTAAGCCTGAAACTTAACCAAAGCAAAGATTTGCGATACTGAGATCGAAGGAAAAACTGCGAATGATACTTTTGATGGTTCATGCGCTTCTTGAAGATCTTGGAGTAGCGAGCGAAGGTCCTCGTAATTAAAATTAAGGTAGTTGAACGCAGCTTCCATAAGATAGCGTTGCGTGCGCTAAGAAACTCCTTGATGCAATCCGCGGTACGGAAAAAGATGGCGCCCCGCACGGAACTTTGGATAGATCGACATGTCGGCCGTAAAAAAATGTAAGCAAATCACGGCGGCCGATCACAGCGTACGCCACATCACGCCTAGTGAATCCGAAATTAGAGGGGAAAAACTCGAGCAAAACGTTGAAGTGTTGAGTCGAGCAGTGGCTAAGAGGTGGCTGAAGTGACGTGGCTGTAGAAATTTACGCGAACTCACCTTAGTTTTTAAAAAACCAAGTAAGTTTAGGTGGGCGTAATTGTTTTTTCAATGTTGCGATTTTTTATAATTTTGGCAGGAAATTTTTAGACTGGTTTTGATGTGATATTTTTATTTTGTCTGAAAGAATCAAATCGTACATCCAAAATGGATGGAATAAGCTTCTCCTGAAGGCTCTAGATGGGAAAATCCATGAAAATCCATGACCTCCTCCACTTTTTTGAAGCCAAAATAGACTTCTACGAGGCGACCTTGGAGTGCACTAACAAGTGGTTTCAATATTTGAGGGATAAGAAAAAAAAAAAAAGAAAGAAGGGGGCTCAGAAAAAAGGGGGGGGGGGTGAAAATTCACCCATTTCACCTCCCCTGGATCCGCGCCTGCTATGTAGGGTATGGGTTCGGGTCCGGTTCAAGTAAGACTTCAGTTTTTCAAGTTTTTCTTTTGCAGCTACTTTACTTGCATATATAACTGCGATGATTGTTCACGTGTTAAGGTGGCTTGACTGGATTTTTCACTGGCGACACTGATCACCACAGCTGCATCAGACAAAGAAAATTTGCTATGAGAATTGTTAAATTGGCATCAGAGTTGTTATAGTAACGCAACGACTTCACTAACTATTTACTTGTAGTTGTATTTCTCTGCACTTCTCGGTTTTTCTTTTCAAAATCGTTCACGGAGCTTATTCCTTCAATAGCTGTCTCAAAATTCGAAAAAGTCTAAGTGAAATCTGTAAGAAGTTTATGTGTATGTATTTATCAAGTGACCACGTCCAACTGATAGACATTCTATTTAAAGCTACCTTAAATTTGGATTCGAGTTGCTCTTCGCCCAGACCGTGGGTAGACAATTGTCGTATTGACATTAAAGTTCTCGGTGCTCTCAATCATTTCTTCTTCTTCAGTCGAATCCTCTTCCTCTTCAGAGCTTGAAATACCAATCTCTGCAAGGACACAGTCTTCTTCCTCTCAGTCGTCTTCTGATTCACTACTGAGTGAATCAGAAGACGATTGATTGTCGCTCTTCCCATCCTCCTCTCTCTCAATGCGTTTAGCAAGTTCTTGGATGATATTTTCTTTAAAGAATGGTAATGGTGATGATGACAATAATGATGATTATTAAATGCTGAGGACAACAACAATGATGATGATGGTGCTGGTTATGTTTACAGTAGAAATAAAATCAATGTTGTAAGATACTGATTTGTAAGTGTTAATAAAAGTTGCTGTATAAAGCTATTTTAATAGGCTGTATTTGTTGCTGGCATCCAGATGCAGCTTTTAATATTTTTGCTGGCAAAACGTGTGCATATTTTTTAATGGCCCCCCTTTAAGCCATGCATAAAAAATGGTGGCCCACCCCCTAATTGCACCAGCCCCCCGCCTCCCCCTCTCGATAAATAATGACCAGTCCCTAATGTTTGGCTAACATGTATTTGGAAATGCATTTTTTCTCATAGTAGTTTCATACCAAATAAAAACGTGTGTGAAGTCATCAGGGGGATAGTCTTAGACGGCTGCCAAAAATAGGGTTTTAACGCTCTCTTTGTACTTTTTACACCATTCTGTATAATTTTGTCTATTTTGCTTTCATAAATCTGAAGCATATTTTTAAGGTATGCATGTGGGTATTGTGTTTAGGTAACAAGAGCAAAAGCCAACGGACATGCATTCGTTGCGTGTTATGTTAAAATGTCATTTATTTGACAAATTCTAATATAATTAAATATTACCTGTAAGTGTAATTGTTTTGAACGTCGTACATTGGCCAGCGATAAGTCACTCATTGACAAAATTAAAATAAATAAATGTTTAGAACCTGTTCTGATTCAATGTAAACCGTGGTTGGTGAGATACGTTCTGTTGTTCAACCAGTATCTAGCTTCGTTTGATTCAGAATTTCCTTTCAATTTGATTTCGTAGCCCTAATTATTCATGACAGACATATGAAATTCTAAGAACGGATTTTACGTACAACGTAAGAAACCTGAAAAATAAGTTATTTAACATTTTCCCATAGACCATACTGCACTTTGTTTCTTCGCCAAAATATTGCATAACCATTGTCTTCGTGTTTACTTACGACGACTGTAATACCCAGGAGAAATTAAAAACAATCGAGTTACAAAATTTTGGGGGTTAAACAAGGTGGTCTATGTGAAAATGGTGAATGCAAACTGCAATTTGCTTTATGCATTAAATAAATGTAAAATATTTTTTCTTTGCATCAACGTGTGGTAATTCTCTGTAATATGAACACTAATTTCCTGAGGAAAAAACAATGTAATTTTGCGAATTTTGTACACCAATAAGGTGATGTAACCATATCTCTCTACTGATAATTCGAGATAAAGGTTGAAGAAAATAAGCCAAATATCACGGTCCATCAACAAACCTTCGCCTTTTGTTTGGCATTTTTTTGTCTGCGGAGCAGTTTGTGAGGAGTACTATGATGAGCATAATTGAGGCATCGTATTTCATTTGCCAGTGACGATTATATAAATTTATCATAAAGTACTTGATGGCATGCCATATCTAAATGTGTTTCTGACCGAGGTTGAGTTAAAAAAAGTTCTGAAAACAACAAAGTTCTGTGGCTAAAACTACATACAACATTACTATAATTAGTATCGATAATTTTACACGATTGTAGGATTTCGACAGTGGAAAGGTCGTGTTTTCATTCTTTGGCCAGAGAACGTTTAAGAGTCGTTACCGTAATTAATTCTCACTGCAGCCCCACTGTATTTTTATATCATTAATTTCCTTAACTGGGATGAAGCTTCTTGCAAGAAGATTCATGACCTGGTAATAATTACCAATAGATTTCCTTTCGATAATTGGCGTGTGCTTTTCCCCAACAAACCGGTTTTAAGGTACTTGGAGACCTTTATTAGTGTTTTCACATTTCTTCTAAAATTTCTCTTTAATTAAATATCGGCTGGTATATTTACCAGACTAAAAATTTATAATGTTAGACAGCAGTTCTAGTATTGTTCTTCATTGCCTCGTCGATCCAGTTTCTAAAATACAAAGCATCAGAAAACACTCCCGGATCTCCTTGATCTACACAGCCATTATTACTCCAACTCGTTATGCCGACCAAATACCAACGGCCGTCTCGCTCGCAGGTCAGTGGTCCTCCGCTATCACCTTTACATGTACCTTGACTCTCACCTATTTTCCCAGCACAGCGCATATCTGATGTAACGGCTGTATCACTCCGATTGAAATATTGTGCGCAAACGTCGTGATCTAAGAGAGGCATGGTGGTCTCCTGAAGAATTTCTGGTGGCGACGCAAAAAGCCCTAACAGCCCCCATCCGGTGACGTAACACGTGGTGCCGGCAGCAAAGTCAAAATCAGGAAGACAGATGGGCGAGACATTCGCATTAAAGATTATTGGGCGCTTGAGTTTCATCAACGCGATATCATTTTGTAGAGTGCTGGGGTTGAAATTTTTGTGAACAATGATCTTTTCTACCGGGATTTTCTGCTCCATTCCTTCTGCAATACCTCTATGAAGTTCTCCTAAAATTCAATCGAAAAGAGATCAATAGAAAATTCAAATACTTAAAATAAAAGTGTATTTGCGAGCTCTCATCTGTTAGATGTAAACAAGAAAAGTACTGCAAAAGCACTTATAGCGGCGATGTCCAGGTTTATTTTACCACATTTTTTTCAAATCACCTAAATGTCAAACAGTAGTGGATCTGCTATCTTAGTGTACTTTGAAAGGTATCTAGGGTATATAAGAAGTGGGGAGCAAAAACCTATTTCACTGGGACAGCGACTGGTCACCAAAAATCAAGACAATCTAAAAACTGCTTGATTGTTTAATTGGAGATTTTTGGTGTCCATTCACTTCCCCACTGAAAGAGCTTTTCACTGAGAACTCAACCTTTAAGGCAAATGAAGAAATAGATATTTTTTTAAAAGTAATTCTAAAACAAGAATTAAAACGCCTCACAAGTGTCAATACAACTTCATTTCCTTTCGCTTTTTTACCTTGATCATAAGTGGAAGAAATGATTCTTTTACCTACCTACAGTTAGATTAAAGTTAGAAGCATTTCTCAAAGTCAATAGATTCACCATACAATGAGCTGCAGTAACAACCCAATAATGGTCAATGATGGAGCCTCCACAGAGGTGGGGATAACTATCTTTATCGTCAGAGTATGCTAACTGAACCTGCCATGGCCACTCTCCTGGCTTAGCGTTCACTCCTCCCACGATCTGCGGCGACATTGATACGTGAACCCGCTTAACACCACAGGGGCCTGTAAACAAAAATAACTTTTCAGTCAGAATTGGCTTGTGAACAGGCTCTCTTGTGTTGGAATAATTATTTCATATAATAATAATTTATTATTTGTAAAGCGTAAAAACAACATTTAAATATGATCTAGGGCGCTCAAGGAAGGGAAGGGCGAAAAGAAGGCGGGAAAGCTCTAACAAACAGAGAGCGGAGGAGGGACAATAAAAAGGGAGGACTACAGTAGACCTACCGTAAATCCTCTATTAAGCCCTCTCTCTCAAATACGCCCCCTCTCTCTAATAAGGCCCCCTTTTCAGGGGAAGAAAGTTAGTAAGCTCCCCCTCCCCTCCCCTAATTATAATTCACTAATAAATGATAGACTGTATTAATAAATCACGACTGTAAAAATTCCTGTGGACTGATCCGGGATGGTTTATTTACTAACTGGAAGTTCGGATTTGATTATGATCCTCAGCTGCATGACCTTCTGCATGACCTTCTTGAGCTTGAGTTTTTCCACTTTGTATTCTAGTTCTTTATGGAGAACTGATGCCATCCTCTTTTATAAATTAAATCCCCCCTGTCTCTATTAAGATCCCCCCCCCTCAAATAAGCTTGAAATAAATAAGCCCCCGACAAGGGCTTAATAGGGGATTTACGGTATGTACTTTATTTTCGGCAACTTATCATTTTTGGTCGAGTAAATGGTTTATAAGCCAGATGATATTAGGCTGATTTAGCAACAGAACAGAAACGTCACTTGACAACGAGAAGGCGCGGTAAGGACGAAACTAGACTTCCGGTGCCCAATTTGCCGCTCTGCCATTGGTCAAGCTAGTTGTTTGATTTACGTACGCCGTCGTTAAATGACATAACCATTCTTTTGCTAAATCAGCTTAATACGTTGCCGACTATGCATGGATGATATGAAGTTTCATACCGGAAGGCTCCTTTTCCCTTTTTTTTTAATCGATTTGTTAGAATGTTTATGAAAACTCATAGAATAGATCGTAAAATATTGGCAGAAATCTGCGTAAAAAATGAAAGGCGTAGATTACGCTTGTATTCAAGTATTGCACCATCACCTACTCTTTTCTGCCTAAACTTTTAAGGATCAGGTTGAGGACGCATTTCTTTCCGTGTTTGTGGAGGTAAGGGTATTATTTCGTCAGAGTCTTGCAATGAATGGAAGATCTTCCCCGCATAAGCCTTTTTGAGACCTCCCTCTCGGTACAGCCAAATAGACCGCTCAAAGTTTCTATAACCTTTTGCTCCTATCCTGAAGAAAATTTATTCCTCGGTTTTGATATATTATTACAAATAGTTGGTGATAGTTTTATATCGTTCCATTGCTGTAACTAGAAGAGCAATAAATTGCTGGCCTAATTATACTCACAATCCTTTTCGTTAAACTTACCAACAAATGAAACATTTATAGGTGAACTTTCTCCACGCCCAAATTCATTGTAAGTAACACAAACGTATGTTCCTTTATGCTCAGTTAGTGCACGTGTTATGTTATGAATACCAGTCGATGAATTAAAAACGAGGACACCATTGTGATAAATATTGTACGTGGTTACAGGTGGGTTGGCATGCGCAGTACAACTTAAGATGATCGACGAGTTAATTATACCGACGTTGTCTGGAACTGAAACTTCTAGTTTGGTGTCGTATGGTTTATCTGGAGGAGAAAAAATAGTTTATCAGAAAAAACGTTTAGCCATTACACCGTCCAATGCAATTGAAATAAATGGCCTCGTACAGCTCACATGTGAATAGCAAGTGCTTTTACAGTTAGACAGTCTTTAACTTACAATTTATTCCGGTCCGCCGTTCATCCAGCAATTGCTTTTGTTCAATAGGGCTACTTATACGAGGACTGAAAAGTAAGACGCCCCTTGAATAAGAGCGCACTGTACCATTTGCACGAGCATGTCTTTCAGACACTTAAGGTCCGTAAGCTGCGAACAGATCGCATCAATAGCTTGACTCTGCACCTGAATGCAAGACGTGCACTTATATGCATGCTTTCCGTCATTTACTTTGGTCATGTCCAACAGTCCTTCTTAAAAATGAGCCTGTTGTATCTCAACAGCAATTATACCTGTGCTTTCTTCATCACAAATAGATCCCATTTCCACCCGGTCTTTTTTCCGAACGGAGATTTTAACCGGGATCATCAGATGGCTTAACAGAAGATGGCTTAACTTAATTACAAACTGGCCAATATAGCAACATCAAAAACAACGACGATTATAAGGTCCGGTTTGAGATATGTAATAAACAATCCGCAATTTTGGACATTTTCATTTGACCCACAAAAGGTAGGTACTCACGTAATACATCCAGTACGGCAGCTGCAGTATCAGGCAATCCCAGGTCATTCTCGGCCTTACAGACATACGTTCCTTTATCATGCTGACCCACATTCTGTACAACAAGCTGCTCTCCTGACGGAAACTTTTTGCTACTGTCTCCAAGCTTTTCCCACGTGATGTGAGGGCGAACGTACTGATATGGAGGATAGGAAGTAGCATTACAGAAAAATGTAGCACTTCCGTTTTCAGTTATAGTCGTGTTTTGCGGAGAATTTATAATTGAGAAGGCACCTAAAAGGAAAAAGGTAACATATTCATTGCTCTATTATTAACGATACACCACATGTGTACCATAAACATTCAGAGGCGTAGCCAGTCATTTTTTGTTGTTAAGCCCAATTTGCAGGAGTCCTGAATGGGCTTGTTGAGGACATATTAGCAGGCCATGCTAACACTGACCCATAAACAATTCAGCGCAGTAAATAAAAGTAAAGTAAACTAAGAAACCATTGGGATGGATTGGTTTGTTGGAAGTTGCGTTTTAACAACGATCAACGATCATGACCCCTCAATCATTTTACTGCTTTAATATTGATCATGTATAAGGAAAGGATATTCATTCATTAATCAATACAGAGTAAACATAATTCAAGCAGATGATCAAAGAAACCAAAGGAGACCCCTCTACGTCGAATCTACTTGAAAAACCAAGATGGTTTTCCCAGTAAATTATGTGCGTATCTTGCAAGCCCATCACCGCGACAAATTGGTTCACGTGCCTGAATTTTTAGCCTGTATATTCAGACCGCATGACGTTCTCTAGTGAATTTGCCTTTTTCTTGTCATAAATAATTTATTCCATGGATGTACGTTCATAGGACGACATTTGAAAGAATCAGTTCTCTGGGAAACCATCACGCGTTCTGAAATGGGAAAACAAAACATACAAGCTAGAAAGGTCTATTTCACGCCGCCTATTAGCTCAATTTCACCCAATTTTTTGTTAAGCCCGGGCTCAATGGCTTAAAGGTAATTACGCCACTGGAATTTTCTATTGAGAGCTGTCTGTTTCCTTTTTTAAATAGCTTACTAGTCACATTAGGCATGGCTGAATAGTGTATTTGAAGCCAAAGTCAAAGTCAACAACAAAGGCGGAGCAGTCAAAGATGCGTCGGCACGGCTTCGCGGCTGTACCCAGGGACAAAGGAAACTGTCCATAATAATGTGATGTCTGTAAAGCGGGGTTTGACTGTACGTATATTTGAATTCAAAATTATATTTTTCAGATACTCTATACATTTTCATCTACAGAGTATTTCGAGCCCGCACCTCATTTGAGTGGCAAAGGACCAACAGGCGGGTCTTTTGCGTTCAATAAGCCCGAAAATGACAGTAGGTCTAGACTGGCCGAGGAAAGGGACAGGTAATCCAGCGAGAGCGCAAAAGTAACGAGCAATGATCACACTCTTCGTTATTATGTTGGCTGCTTTAGAACGAAAACTGCTCCAGAGATATGTACAACACGGAATATATTCACTGTACATCTCGAAGAGACTGAATTATCTGAATATAATGACTAATTCAAATAGTATCTCATGACAACTTGTGAATTATCCAGGATTAAGTTACCGACCTATCACAGCGATCGTAACAGAGATGTTAGCACCAGTCCCCAGGAGGTTGATAGGTACGCAGTCATATGTTCCTGCGTCAGAGTGCCTGGCCTTCGTTATCACGTGAGTTCCTATTAGACTCGTTCCAATGTAAACACCCTCACGATAAAAACGGTACTGACTGGCCGGAGGGTTAGCTTCTGTATCACAAGTCAGTGAAATTTGATCGTTACCAAGAACGACTGGATTCCGTTTATTTGTTTTGAGCGTTGTGGAAGATGGTGGATCTAAAGTGAAGAAGAAATAAAATAATTATTAAAATTATAGGTTAGAAAATAAAAGTAAAAATACCAGAGTATAACACCCACTTTCCGAATTATTTTTAATAAACTTTGAAAGTAAGTCTTATAGAACCAGTCCTTTTATATGCGAGTAATTTTTATTAGCATGTAAATTTAACTCATTTTTATGAAAATGTTTGTATAGCAGGACTCAATTTCAAAAAGAGGAATATGGGAACTTGCAAAGAGGCTATATTTGCAATGAAACATTTTATTGTCAGTTTTTGGCTTGCATTCATCTCAACTAATGTATCGTACCTAAGCTTTTAGAAGTTTAGGACAAAAACTTACATTGAACATCGAGATTGGCGGACTTAGTCGCGGAATTTCCAACACCATTTTCCGCTACACATCTGTATTCCCCACGATCGAAACGGTCAGCAGCCGTGATCAATAGAGTATGCCCAAAAGCAAGTGTCGCTCCGTCTTTCACTCGCACCCACGACAGTCTCACCGCTGGTTTTCCTGTGGCATTGCAGAACATGGTGACGTTTTTTCTGTCTGTTTCTATGACAGTGCGATTCTGTGGTCCGTGGTTAATTTCTGGAGAGACTTTAATAAAGGAAAAACAATTTTTTTTAGAACCAAGAAAAAACTAACATGACATCTCTGGCGTTCTCTAGTATGACGATCGACTATAGTTACATAATCATACATAATTATACCCCTGATATACACCAAATTACGTAATTATACCTCTCAAAAATGCAAAGATAACGTGAGCATCGGGGGAGGTATATATTGTTTTATTTACAAGTAATTACCCTTGAGAAATTATACAGTTCTCACATTCAAATGTAATTCATGAATTACCCAAGAGACAGATTTAATTCCTATTTGGCTCCCGGGCTGAGGTGGGTAAAACAAGGAAATGGATAAAATCTCAATGCAATTTATTTTGTTATATTTCCCTCACAATCAACTATGAATTTTGATTATTCGAAACTGGCCCAATTGCACCGTTGTTTAGCGTCCCCAGACCATACTTAAAGAAACCCACCCAGAGCCCAAATCCCTTCTTTGCTAGTAGAGCACACTTAGTTTATACCTTTCTCTAAAAATTGAGTCGTATATTTTTCAAACACATTTGGTTCTTTATTCAAAAAATTAACATAAAACTTACAATTGTCAGGGTCAACTGATGCTTCAGAGGTTATATTCTCTCCCCGCGGGCTGACTGCTGTGCACTGATAGGTACCAAAATCCGCTTTATCAGCATGGAGTATTCTAAGTGTTTTCCCTACAGGAAACACTTTGCTACCGTCGCCAACTTTTCTCCATATTATCGCCGGTGGAGGGTTCCCTGTCGCGTTACAAAAGATCTCAAAACTGTCTGTTTCGTTGACCAACTGATAAGCTGGAAGAATGGCATGTATTTTTGGCGAATCTATAAAAAGTGAAGAACCACAAAGTTAGAACTTAAGTTGTTTGTTTTTTCTGATATTAGGGGGGTTTCGTTGCCCGAAGTTTTGTCTTGGTTTTGTCTACTTTGAATAAAGAAGTATACTTTCAATAGACTGTCAGTAACCTTTAACCCAGCTAACGGGTCGATTATTTAAAAGGCGTCTAACTTAAGCGGCCGTTTAACAAATCTTTGGACCTCAAGATCTCTTCCTTAGAGGGTTATTTTAAGAAGATAAATACTTTTTTCTTGTCTACTCTGTATGCTTTCATAAAACTGTCCACAATAAAATGGTGTTTAGATAAAACCGTGGCGCAAATTGAAAATGGCTTTGAACGCGGTTAAACTAGGTTTAAATAACTGGCCCGTTAAGGACTGCTCAGATCGCTAACTTCTGACTAAGCAATAAGTTTGCCATGTAATCAGTTATCAGAAAGCAAAAATTTCCTAGGCGAAGCTCCATAAAAACAGCGTCAGTTGTTCTATTGAATGATGCCTTATTAATTAAAGAAAGTCAAAACAGATTAGTGAGTTAAGGGGTGTGAATATTATCCTATTTCTATTCTGTTCAGTGGGTATATCGCTTTTTCAGGCCCCTGTGAGCGATCACTTGATACTTTGTCGGGGGGGGGGGGGGTAATTGAGGCTCATAAGGACTGCTTTAAGCTTCAACCTTTTTGCCCCAAGAATCAGTTATCCAAGAATTAGTTCATCCGATATCCAGTTTATATTTCAAACTCCTTTTAACTTACCATAGAGAGTAAGTGTTAAGTAAGCTTCTTTAACACCAGCTACATTTGAACAATTACACACATAATTGCCCTGATCTCCTTCCGCAAAGTTCTGAATGACATGAAAACTTCCATTGATGCCAAGCATGTTTCCCTTGAAGTAAATTCGACAAACAGGTTCAGGAAATCCAACAGACGAGCATTTTAGGGAAACATAGTCACCCGGAGCAGCAACGTTGTAAGAAGTGTTGGCCGTGAAATTGATTTCTTTTGGGCTTCCTAAATAAAGCAAGAAGTAATGAATGTGATCACTATTCCGCCTGAGTAAGAGTCAGGGAGGGATACAATTTCTCTAGGGATTGAATTAAGTGTTAAGATGACGTCAAAAAAGTTAGCGGTGATGCTCAGCGGTGAGCTGGCCAAGATGGAGGCTGAGTTTTAAGCTCCTCTAAACTTTGAACTTCTCACATAATAACAAGTTTCCTTTCATTTATATTACTAGAAGCGACTAATATTGTTCTTTTAAAAACGGAATAAATTTTTGTTGTTGTCAAAGTTAGTATGTTTTTCGTAACTTACATCAAATGATTTCGGATGACGTTGTGAGAAACTGTGTCTCATAACTGCCGATTCGAGAGGTTTTTACGTCACACGCCCATTCCCTGTTAAAATACTTAGAATGTATATGGAACGCTCCTCCGAAATGCAATTGAATTAAGTTAAATTAAGTTAAAACTTCTTTAACAAGAGAAAAACAAAATAAAAAAAAATGCTTGACAAAGTGTCAATGTTTTGCCACGAGAAGTAATTTCTAGACGAAGGGACCGTCATTTCTACATTTGTCATGTGGTTATTTAGGCAACGCTAAGGTCTAATACTTTACAGAGAAAATGGCAGTAACTTTAATATTTAACTATAATTCTTAGTTTCTTTAAGACCCAGTAGGCGTTGGTCTCCTGGTATTGAACCCGAAAAAGTCCGCAGTCGAGCGCTCCTCTATCGACTCAGCTAAACCTATAAACGTAAGTAGTTTTTAAAAAGCTTCATTTATGGGAATTATTTTGCACAGTTTTTATATTCGTATTTCTCAATTTCAGAATGTTCAACTTGAATGTCATTTTCGCCGTTTACCGTAATCGAGGTCGTAAATTTCTGAAAAGTCAGTGTATGTAATGAACACCAAATAAGCAAAAATGGCTGTGGCGCCATTACATAACCTTAATAAAAGTTCTTGTCAGGGGATTCCATATTAAACAAAAGCATAATCTTAATGTATTCCTCATAAAGCACGATTTTCGTTCTCACCTTCAATATTAATTGCTGTTGTTTCCATGTCATTTGCCAAAATGTTAGTTGCCACACATTCGTACACTCCCCCATTTGCTTGTAAAATGTTGGAGATAGTGATGTTGACAGACGATTGTCCCTCGAGAAGAACACGGCCGTTTTTCTTCCACATGACCTGAGGGATGGGCCGCCCAGTCGCTATGCAAATTAACGTCACAGTACCACCAAGTTTAGCGCCTTGACTTGGAGAGATCGATACGATCCTAGACGGAACTGGAAAGTAATTTGCATCGATGAGAATACACCTTTTGCAGGAGTGATTGCATCCAAAGTGTTAAAGAAAACACTCCGGTGAAGGTTTAGGCCCCTACGTACGTGAGCCAAAGTTCGTTGTTATACTGTCTAATTGATTTTTTTTAAGTATGCTTGCTTCATTCTGAATTTGTATAATTAAATCTTTACCTAGGGTTTCAGCAGTTTTAGCGCACGCCGTGTTTTCTTGAAACTCTACATCATCAATAGCTATATCACTGAAGGCATCAAGACCAACCACACCTTCGAATGTTACCTGCAAAAAGTGTCAATACACAATATCAGATTATTTTAACCATTCTCTCAAAATCAAGGAGACATTAAAGATTTGCTATTATTGATTGATTCACTGATTAATCCACCCATTCATTCATCCATGAATCCATCCCTATATTTATTTATTTTTTCATTCATTCATCCATCCATCCATCCATTTCATTCATTCATTCATTCGTTCGTTCGTTCGTTCGTTCATTCATTCACTCACTCAGTCACTCTTTAATTGATAAATTTATCACCAACAGGCCCGCGGGAAAACATTTCGTGACGAGAAGGGGAGAGACACGTCATCCCTTTTTTTTTGCCCTTCTCGGCTATTCTTTGCTATAAACTCCACTGTAGAACCTGTTCTCAGAATAATATACCTATAGTCTGCTTTAAGCTAAGTAGATATTCTTTTTACTACGTCGTACCTTGTATGTACCGTGAAAGTCAAGGGGCACTGTGGCTTTGTACCAATCGTTTCCTTGACTACCTGATATTTGCCACAAGACCTGATCTCGAACTTTCACCTTAAGAGTGTCAACCGACTGTCCATAAAGGTGGTAGTAGAAAACCATGCATGTGGCGTTTCCGTTGCCTCGTATCCATGGCGTTTCGAGTCTGGCTACCTTAAAATTATTTCCTGTTGCCTCTATATAAAAGTAGTGCCCTAAAGTAAGAGGATACATGAAGATGATTTAAAAATATGAAATTGTTTGTCTTAGAAGAAAAAACACGTTCATTTTAGACCTATGAAGGAGAATAAGCTATGATCTAGGAAATTTTCCAACTAGGACCCTGGGAAAGGATATGTAACTCATCCTTACTACCGGGTGTTTTGCCACATAGGTCTTGAAGACAGAGTAAGCGCCTTACAGGCGTCAAATTTAAAGCATCGAGGGTACATTAAAGATCAGTTAAAAAATTTTGTAAATTGGAAAATTTAGTTTGACTTATCCATTCTTTAAATTTACTGAGACAATTATACTCAAATCATTATTATGTTTTAAATAGGCCATAATCGAGTTCCGAAAAATCTCACTTTCAAAGCGAGGCTAAGTGCGAAGCTATTGATATGAAAATGATTTTTAATTACGATGGAAATAAAACTCATTTTCACAACAAAGGTTTCGCACTTAGCCTCGTTTTGAAAGTGAGATGTTTTGGAACTCGGAAATGGCCTATTATAATAATTGCAACTTACCAGTCCCTCCGTGACCTCTTGAAGGTCCAGTGTCCTTAGAAGGTGTATGACCTATATGTCGGATCCACTTAAAGTCTGCTGGATCACCAGGACCATTATCCCACCCGCAATACCACGTGTCAAAATCACAACTTGCGTCTGTTGGGAAGGAGGTATTCGAACACCAGTTTTTTAAAAAGAAAATTGTAAAGGAGTCACATCGCGCTTTTGCGAGCAGAAGAAATCCATCACTGTATAAGTTAGCAACAGCAGGTACTATTCTTCAGCGAAGATAAGGTAGAAGACTCCACCTGGTCAGCGGTCCGAAAAAATGGCTGCGTTTATACTTACCCCTCGTTACCAATTCAGTTTTTAAAACAATATGTAGAAAAGGAGGAGTCGAACTGAGAAGTGGGAAACGAATCGTCTCGTTAAGAGAAAAGACACTAAGCAATTCACACTTGGTAGTGGTTTATTACAAAAAATCTGCATATTTTGCAAACGTAACCTCACCTTTTGCATTTACTGTGTAGTTATAGTCACAAATGACACCGGCATCTTTGGTATGATTACAGTTACTGACTCCCCAGCCAGCATGTGGGCACTTTGCTAGGGTGTCTTCCGTTCCACTGCAATTTACTTCATTCAATAATATAGACTCACTATCTCTAGCACCACCAAATCTGGACCTTGTCGTGAAGCCAATAGCTCTTGGGTACCCTAACATACGGCACACCACATTTGCATCCCTTATGTCCCACGAATCATCGCATATTGTCCCCCACTGGCCACTGTAGTAAAGATACACACGGCCCTGATTGGGGAAACCATGTTTGTCATCCTGGATCTCGATGTGAATCTCTGTAGAAAGATTGTAATTCAATCAACCAACGTTTTAAAAGCAATTTTAATATTGTTATTTACTTTGAAGCAGGTTGTAATCTAAAGGGCCGAAACCGGGGACAACAACGGAACCTATGATAGAGTCAAACATCCATAAGCCACCAAGTCTCGTAAGCGACTAGCTTCAGCAGGTGACCACTTATCAAAAACACCCAGCATTTCGCAGCCAAAGCATTCTAAATAGACCCTTCGTATGTGACGCACCTCTCAGCCACTACAACAGTTCTGCGGCTAAGCCGGTTCATTCAGCTCAGCTGTTTGTCAATGAAAAATTCCAGAGAGTTCTGTACGTCTTTACATGCTACGCAGAGACGAAATATTCGAAATAATGACTGAGAAGTAAAGGAGGAATTCGCAAAATTTCAATGGAAAGATGTAAACTCTGGACGAGAAAGTACCAAAAAATACTGATCAAAAAGTTTACTCTTTGCCACTCATCCTCGGAGAAAAAGCACCTCCGACTCGAAAATAATTCGACTTAGTCAGATAGTTAGAAAGCAACTTGACAACCATCCTGTATAATTTTCTCAATCCAAATCATGAAAATGACTGAACAGTTAATCAAAACAGTTATTTGCTGCTGGATGCCTAGTTGCATAAAAGCTTTGCCCAAAGATTGACAAAGTGTCTGATCAATTCGAAACCACTTCATCTGAACACATTTTCTGGAATGGTATCAATTCATACCTGGAATTTTGTTCTTACACACTACACCAGCATCTTCACTGTGATCGCAGTCATGTGATCCCCATCCACGAAATGAACAAGAAGCAACGGAGCTCTCATGTCCACTGCACCAAAGGTCATCCAGCAGTACTCGCTGGCTTGAGTTCCCAGCACCAAACCTGCCTTCTATCTCCGCAGAGATGGCACCAGGAAAACCCATCATCCGGCAAATAACATCTGCATCGCGGATATCAAAATCATCATCGCAGACAGTTCCCCATTCACTCTTGTAATAGACTTCAATACGGCCCTCTCGATCACTTGATCCATTAACCAAGCGAACTTGAACAGCTAGAAAAAATTATTAAGACACACTGAAGTCTAGAATCAGATTCATCAGATGAAATAGAATTTACTTAAAGGTCATTTGTGTTAAGCCAAAATGTCAACAATTCACTTGCGTAAAATTAATTCTAATCTCATATTTACCAGACCAAATGGAATCGTTTTGTCAAATTGAAACTGTTTGGCAAGCAAGTGCTGTTAGTATTTCATTGAGAAGACAAGGTAAAAAGTTTTTCATTTTTGATGATGAGGCCGATCATGATCACCTAGCAATCAAAACCTCTTTTCTTTAAAAAAAAAAAAAAGAAAAATGGTGTTTTAAGGTGAAATTATGTTGTCTCCTAGGTCTTGTAAGCAGCGTTTACGTCAACGAGAATTTGTAAAAACAATTGGTAATGATATGTACAAAGCAAGTTCCTGGTTATGGTTCGTTATCCATTCCGTCTCTACTCTGCTACGTCGCAGACAGGTTGACAATGAAAAAGCAGAGAAGATTTTAATTCCTGACTTTACTAATTACATTCAAGTCTACTGTGAATTTTTTCGTCCAAAGAACGTGTAACTAACGGTTATTAGAAAGGGAGTGAATCGCATTAGATAATTTTAAGATGTGTGTGTTACATTTCCTACTTACAGGGTGTCACTGCGGGCTTGCTGTAAGTGTTATTGAATACATTTTCTTCAGGTAAATGGTTTGGTCTTGGTGAGTTACCGCATAAAACTCCAGCATCTTCACGATGATCGCAGTTATGCACCAGCCAACCATTGTGACTGCATTCGGTCAAAGAAGTCTCATTGCCGTTGCAAGCAACATCATCAAGCCATATAAAACCAGTTCCAATAAGATGAGTGGCTGGATCATTTTGCAACATCAAATGAGCAAAAGAAAGTGCAGTCCAAGCGTAGCTGAAGCCAAGCATTCGACAAACTACAGAGGCGTCTTTGATATCCCAATGGTCGTCACAAACTGTGCCCCAAGTTCCATTGTGCAGAATCTCCAGTCGGCCAAACGTATTGTCACCATCACGTAATCGGACGATCGGAGCTGTTCATTCGCATGAAAAATAATGTACGAACAGTTTAAGGTGACCATAAAAACGCGAATATTCGTTTCTCTGTATAGGTATGATCAGTGTTTTCTACTTTCTTTACGTTGTTTTGGGGAACTATTTTATGGCGAATATGTTCAAGAAACTCGTTTTTCCTTAGGCCTAGGCAAAACGTCGAACTTTTCATGAGACGAACCAAAGAACCAGAGTTAATGAGTTACGTTTACGGAAAGTTCGACGTCTGGCTCAGTCAAGTTCGTCTGAATTAGTTTGGATCGTCCAACACGTTCTATGGCTTCTGCTTCGGACGGATGAACGTTGATCTTACATGCGACTAACTAAACTAATAAATTAAACATTTGTATGATAATGCATTTAGCCTCACTTGGGAGAAATTCATTAAAATTGCATTTTGGTCTGATTCAGTTGATTCGTTCGATGCGTCCTAAGCTCGACGTCTGAACCAACAGAGGATCTTAATTCAGTTTAGGTCGATCCAATTTAGAGTTTGGTTCGTCTCATGAAAAGTTTCGGGTTTGCTATAGGCCTTGGAGTATTCTTTTAAAGTAAGTAAACAATACTTACGTTTCTTTTGACAAATTACCCCTGCGTCCTCTTCATGATAACAATTGCTTGTTCCCCATCTCCTGAATGAACAATCAGCAATCGACGCCTCGTGTCCACTGCAAAATAAGTCATCCAGCACTATTTGTTGGCTCTCGTTTCCTGCACTGAATCGTCCTCCTTCACCCTGCACGGATAACGCCCCGGGAAAACCCATCATTCGGCATATGACATGAGCGTCACGGATATCGAAGTCGTCGTCGCATACAGTTCCCCATGCACCATTGTAGAAAACTTCAACACGCCCCTCACGTTCATTTGATCCATTGGCAAGACGGACCTGAACAGCTGCGAAAAAAGTAAATAAAAGAAGAATTATTACATGAGCCGAAATTCACGACATTAACCTTTATTGTCCAGTCGCCTTACAGACCTTTACCAAGCCACTAACACAACTTGAAATCCAATGGCGTTGTTGTTTTTTTGTGGCTCTTGCCTTAAGGGAAGGCGATAGCAACTATGATGCGGTGCTGTAAGTTTATCGGTAAATATCCATTGGAAACTCAATACAGCGACAAAGCAAATTTGGTTTTTTTTTGTGAATATACATAAAGGTTGATTTCACGCTTTTAAGACTGAAATTATTGTCTCGTTAATTTTAAACGCGAGAGTTTGAATAGTTATAGGCTATACACTGAACTGACGCAAACAAGTCCTAATTTTCATTAAGTGTTAGAGAGTATGACCATCTTTTTTGTCTTTAAAAGTGCGACACGTGTGACACATTAAATGACAAAATTGTCAACTTTTAATTTAATAGACCATTACAGATTTCCCCCGGGCCTCTGTTTCAAAACGAGGGTAGGTACTCAGCCTTTGATATGGAAATCATTTTTCATTCTCATGCAAATAAAACTCATTTGCACAAGAAAGTTTGTGCACCTAGCCTCATTTTGAAAGTGAGGGGTTTTGGAACTCGGAAGTGGCCTATTGCATCGATACTGCCAAAAAATACATTCTAGCTTTGGTGGGTCAACCACCGGACCAAATCTTTGCCACTTAGCTACATATTTTAAAAAATTTTTCTTTTTCAATGTGGCTACAATAAAGAGTGATGATCATCACAGAAAAACTTACAGGTTGGTCGAGCAGCCTTATTACTGGGGTTAACCGTACTTGCTGCTATATTATCTGGCCTTGGTGTATTAGCACACAAAACTCCAGCGTTCTCCACGTGATCACAGTCATGCACTAACCAGCCATTGTGACCGCATTCGGTAAGAGAACTTTCATTGCCTAAACAAGCCACATCGTCAAGCCAAATAGGCCCTGTTCCAGGGGTATTGTCAGGATCCTGGTTTATGATGAGCTCTCCGTAAGACATAGAGGTCCATGCATATGTAAAGCCTAGCATTCGACAAACTACAGTAGCGTCTTTAATATCCCAGTGATCATCACAAACTGTGCCCCATGTTCCGTTATGGTAGATTTCCACTCGACCAAGATCAGCACTCCCATCTGCCAATCGCACTAATGGAGCTGTTAGAAATTAAAACATAACTTTTGAATGCAAAAATAGCAATAAACCCTCAAATATAAGCGTAAAATGGGTCTGTTGAATACGATATTTGTGAGTGGGTAAAAGAATCTGTTTGATGCTTTTAAAGCATTAGCCATTGACGGTTTTTGAAAAGCCTAAACAGTAGGCTTTAGTATATCACGTCAGTATTTTTCATTATTTGTTCCCAGAGATACACAGCACTTTCCTGTCGCAAGAATCGAATAAAAAGTGTCATATTTTATGAAAAGAGGAGTGATTTATGTAAAAAGGTAAATAAGAAATAGCTAGAAATAATCTAAATATCACAGGAAATCATTTATAACCTGCGTATATCCAAAGCAAAGTCTGAAAGAAAGTCACTTTCCCATAGAGCTTTCCCACTAAATCCATCCATACATCCATGATTAAACAGAATCGGTGTCAAAATTTTAACCTTAGCAGTATGTTTGTCATATACGAACCAAGTTTGTATGACCATGGTTTGTATTTACTTATAGGTAATCTATCTGGTAAGTTATACCGGGTAACTGAGGGAATGTCATTCGTGCGACCTATCGCTTGGATTTTTAAAGCTGTTTCAGTATTTTCAGCGATTGACACAAAAAATTCACATTATTTCAGTGTCAATGTATTCAGTACGAAAGTACTAATTCGGGACATTATTTTACGTCTCCTACTGGAAACGGGACCGCCATTTTGCGTGGACATTCGAGCCACGCGAAGGTCTAGCCGTTTGCCGGGCAAAGGCCGCAACACCTTCATTTCTCAGTAATTAGACCCTGAGTATTGGTCCTGCCCCGGGAATCGAATCCGCGAACCCTTTTATTGTGCAGGTGACAAAGTCCAAACAATTATCTTCTTTGTGTAAACTTACCAGCCGGTGTAGTGGAAGCAACTGAGCTTGATGAGACCACATAAGAAGAACTTGGAGATATCGTTGTTTCTTTACTATAATGCGGTAAAGGTTTATCAGTCGGCGGACTGTGACATATTATTTCCGCATCTTTGGTGTGGTCGCAATTAGTTACACCCCATCCTCTGTGGCTACATTCTGACAAGGACTCCTCTCGTCCATTACAGTTAAGTCCACTCAACCAAACTGGGCCAGTCCCACCTTGGTATTCAGAGCAACAGGTGGCAGACCACGCTCCGGAGTAGCCTAACATTCGACAGACAACCGATGCATCCGGGAGATTCCAACCATCACGACATATGCTACCCCAATAACCATAGCGGTATACTTCTACTCGACCTTTGTTAGGAGTTGTGCCACCGACAAGACGCACTGCTATGGGAAGATCTAAAGAGAAGACGAAAAAATCATTTCTACACTAGTTAAAATCATTAAGATTACTTTTATTATATGTTTTTTGTTTAGGTGAACTATCGGTTTAACGGTGGAGTACTTATGGGGTCCGCACACAAGTATAATGTAAAGACCTCGTTGAGTTAATATGAAAAAGGCAAAGACAAGCCACGCATGTTTTAATTCGTTTGTGATTTTTTGGGGGTGGGGGAGCTACAAAAAGAAGGAAAAAATAATTTAGACAATCATGAGCTTTGTCTGGCTCTGTTTTGTTTTAATTAATAAGTTATGGAATTAATTCCTGCATCTCGGAGTTTTATTTCAAATCGCACAATGTTAAATACCCAATTAATCATTTATATGAAATAAAGAAAGAAAGTGAGTTTTAAAATGAAAGTAAAAAATGTTTAATATCTAGGATAAAGTGGTTGCTTGTAGTAGATAACCAGATTTGTAATTCGTTAACCACAAAATTCCCTACCTTTTATATCGACTTGAATTATACTCTTTGGAGCTGCAAAGGAGCTGAGAAATGTACAGCGAAACCGAGTGCCATCGGTGTCTGTGACATTGTTCAATTTGAGTTTCATGTCACTTCCAGGGATGATATTGAAAGTATCTTTATTGCCAACTTCCTGGAAAGCTCCACCAGAAAACACCTTAACTGCCATAATCTGCCATCGATTGCTGTAAAGGAACATTTCGCGTTCCAAGACTATTAAGGAAAATAGATTCGCTTTTTCAGTTTCTTCTCTATTTAATGACACCGTCCATTCTAGTATGGCGGGAGATCCTCTGCGTACTTCGGTTGGTGGCTGTACACTCCATTTGAACGAATCTGTTTTAGAATAAAGATACTCAGTTTCACTCCCAAGTTTACTTGAATTACCGTAAAATTCCGAAAATAAGCCCCTCCATGTATGAGCCCCCCAAACCGGCAACGCGAAAAACCCTCCGTTAAATCGCCCCTCCAAATATAAGCCCCCCGGGGGCTTGTACGTGGAAAATTGCCCTCAAATACAAAGTAAAACAAGCAAAAAAGGAAAATTTACTTCCAACTATAAGGTTAGCCCAATAAATTTTGAAACGCAAATTTCTCTCCGTAGATACGCCCCTCCGAATATAAGCCCCTCAAAAAGGGCCTTTGAAAAATATAAACCCCGGGGCTTATTTTCGGAATTTTACGGTATACCTCGTAGTAACAATACTCTAAGCACTAAAGAATTAGTGTGTTTATTTCCTACTCCTCAACATGAGTCAGTTGATGCTATGTCAGTTCTCCCCTCTTATTCTAGGATTATTTTATGCACAATGTTCAAAGTTTGTGGAATCGCGATTCTCGGGGAGAAACGGGCTTTGTTAAGGGTTTTAACAATATGTATTTTAGGTCAAGAGCTTGAATTGCTCAGAAGTGTTAGATAAGAATCTTCTCTCTCCCATGACTAAAGGGGGCATACACCCAAGAAAGCGTTTTTAATATTAGTATAACGTTTGGATAATTAAAAAATTGAAATTGGAATAGTGGGTCTTCTTAGGGATGCTACATATACGATTCTGTAGATTCGTATAAGAACTCAAAAAACGTAAAATTTGCCGGGTCAAATTCTAACGGTAGTGTCTTCCGACTAACTGTTATTTCTATGTACTACTTAATGTACGTACTGGGAATTTATGAAAACAACGACAATATCGAGATTTTTAAATAAACTGACCTGTGCTTTTTACATAAAACAAAAATAGCTTTAACTCGGGATCTCTTTTAAATACTCTGTGAGGAACCATGTAAGTTAAGTTAAAATGTGCTTTATCCGTCACTTGTCCTGGTCGCGGTAATGGGCAACGATACATTCAGTTTTGATAGTTATAATTTAAATTTCATAACTGATTTCCACGTTCGACGTTTCTTTGATTACATTTTCTATATATCCAGGTCTTGTCATGACATATTAACACAACCTCTGCAAGCGTTGAGTAATTGATTATTGCTGCATGAACAATAACAAACCAATATTGATTGACTGATCATGCCTTGAACGCCGAAATGCAACTTTAAATTCCGTCATTATCTAAACCTTACATTCTTTTAAATGTCCTCAAACGTTTCTGAGAAAAGCTAAAACAGATTTGAAAGAAATGTTGTGGGTATTATTTTCTATTATTGAGTGTCATTTTATTGACCATCTCTCATGCATGAAAAAACTTCGAAAGTGCATAATCAACACTGAACTCTCTATGCTAAAAAGTCTCAAGAGAGTAGGTGTATTAAACCATAGTTGTCTATTTGTCTGAAATGTTTATAGCGGACTCTTTTTTACTTGAAAAATTAACCGATTGCTATTTTTAACAACTGTGTGTAGTGTCCTAAAAATTAAGCAGCGTTTTTGACGTTAACACACACAAACAACTTTTTTGCGGTTAAACGATCGAGAAAGAGGAACGAATATTACATTGAATACCGTCTAGTTTCCTAGAATTGTTTCAAAGTATATTTTTTTCGGTGATACCACAGGATTTTGAGGATTCTTACGACTATGAAAAGTCTTTTTGCTAGTATTGGGTGAAAAGTAGTTCCTATATTTCAGCTAGTTAACAAACACATATCTCTGCATTCCTTCGCATGATCCCTTTCATGGAATTTACATAGTCAGTCGCAAGCTTTCATATTACCTGATAATGTAAACACAGAAAGTAGTAGTGCAAACGCCAGGAAATTGTCCATCACCACTGCTATGGGATTGAGCGAAAAGTGCAAACACAGTATGATTTGTAATCTAATCCTTTCTGACAAGCAACTCGAGTTTATGACATCAAAGTAAACGAATAAACTGCCTGACGTAATTGACAGAGTATGAATAATGATCAACCCTGGAATGTTCGTTCACGCTTGCCGCACATGAATAATGGCATCTTTTGAATGAGTGACGTAATGCTATACTCCTTTTTCGCTTAATTTGGTGGGACGTCTACGTCAGCTCCCAGCACAAAGAAGTTATTATCCTGTTATTGTTGATGATGATATTTATCTCCTAAAACGTGTATTGTCGGTTGGCCTCCTCTTACCTTATTTCGACAGTCCAATTTCCTATGGCGAGTAGGGGGACGGGTCATCCATATAAAAGCAAAGGGAAATTATTGTCTCGGCGTGGCTAAGGTTTAATTTGACCACTTTAAGAGACCAAACTCCAACACGTACGACCCCAAGCGATAACTTTATAGGTACAAAAGTATGGCCTTCTATACTATCCTTAACATTTGAGAGAGAATAATTAAAACGCTGGTATTTTACCCCTAAGCGATACGACGAACATCCCCGCCGTTGATAAGGAGAACACCGTATATTAAGGAAGTTTGAATGCACTGAAAAGTAACCATACGGCATTGTGTAACTCCAACCAGTACTTAATTTCGAGCCAAGAAGCTATTTTGTGCTTGCTTTACTATAATCGGCAAGGATAGTGTGGCTGTGTTTAAAGTGTTAAAAATCCATATCTCTATATTGGGCACATGGGAAGGGAATTTGGCCGCCGGAAACAGTGCTGACGGACGGCGGAAATAACTTTTTGATACAAGTATGCCTAGGCAGGTGAGGCGAATATTGTCTAAAAAGACCAACTGTTTCAAATAACCTTACTTATTGACAATAGCACAAAAGAAAAACGTCTTTGGAAATAGGCAATGAGGATTAGGAGAAATTGAGGGATGTCTGCGGTAGGAGCGCGTGGTATGAGTCAGGGAACGGGTTGTGAGTAGCACTAAGAGGTATTTTAGCATTATGGAGCATGTTATGTATACCGAATTCGATGCAAACCACATGTAAATGTCACATTAGCTGAAAGGTGGTAGTGACTTCCTCATTGTAAACCTTCTTTTTTAGTTACCACATAGCCACATCTTTTATATATGAGTTAAAAAAGAAAAAAATTGAAATGGGTATGGTGAGTCTCCTGCTGTTGACTTTGCGATCGAATAACTTTCCTCAATCAAACTCACAACCCTACTAATCACTGAATGTACTTAATTAAAGAAATGTTTATAGATAACTTAAATAAACGTGCCAGCGCCCAACTGCGAGTTTAAGGTGACTGTACTGAATAGTCCGACCCAAGCATATATGAACAGATCATCGGTGAACAATTTCCCTTGCCATTCTTAACGGTCAATGCCACCATTTGCAACCAGACCGTCAGTTATGGTAAACGATACAATTATCACTGGGTTCAGCAAAGGCCCTACAATTTAAGTTTTTTTTTTTATTTCAGCTAAGGCGTAATTATACAGTTTGCTTTGCCAAGCTTGAATAATAATGACTCAAAGTCTCAAAGTCTTCAGAACTAACTGGCGCTGACCAAATTTGAAAGATTTAAGCAATATACCATCGATTTGATAGTATATTGACTTGGAAACGAGGTTGATCGATGATATATTGATTTGGCAACAAGGTTGTAAGGGCAATAGACCATCGATCAACCTCGTTTCCAGGTGCGGCCTCCCAGCTGTTTATTCACGAGCTGGGTTAACTAAAAAAAAAAGTCCACGCCGCTATCCAAATAAGAAACAGTTTAATTTTTACGAAAACGGAACGAAAGGAAAGCAAGAATACGCAAAATATACTGCTCGATGGATGTTATCTACTTTTTGAGAAGTAAATGCAAAAAAGAAAAAAGAAAAAAAAAACCTTTGTTTTAATATCATTCTGAAACTGTGAAGAGAAATATCGCAAAGGTAGAAGAAAGGCTACGAGGAGGTAAGCTTTGCTCAGAACTTTATGAGATTTTGAATGAATATAATAAAACAACTATTGAATTCGGCTTTCGTAGGATAAGAATTATGCAGATCTCGGAGGAGGATATCTACCTAGCTAGGCCTTCAGCCTCGATGGATAACACCCTGCTCGATCTGCATAATGCTTCACATCCTACGAAAGCCGTGTTCAATAATTGCTAATGGTAATAACGATTGGTTCTGTTGCAGTTGATGGAATTCTGCTCAAATCACATCTAAGTATTGTTAGAATACTGGCGATGAAGTGAACATAACGCTCGAGGGAAGACGTCATCTCGGTGCGGTCATCGGATCAAAAGAGTTTAAGGATCAATATTGTCAAGAGAAAGTTGATAAGTGGCTCAGAGAGATGGAGTCCCTCGCCGAGATCAGCAAGAGCCAGCCCCACGCTGCCTAAGTCGCTTTCACTAAAGGATTTAAATCCAAATTCACTTATTACTTACGCACCATCGAATCGTTTGAAGAGTATTTGGACCCCATCGAAGAAGTGATTCACAGTTCCTTTTTTCTTTCATTATTCGGATGAGCGGAGTCTCTTCCTGAAGAACTTAAGGAACTTGTCAGTCTACCACCTGCGCAGGGCGGAATTGGGATTCCCGATCTTAAGCGCGAAAGTTTGGAGCAGTTCAGTGCCTCGCTCGATATAAGAACACACACGTCAATTCTATTGTTACTCAAAGCTCCACCATTCCAGCACGAGAGCTGATGGAGGAAACGAATTGTGAAATCAATGCTAAAAGGAGAGCTGCTGCAAAGTCCCTGATCGACAGGATTGACGAATCGTTATCTCCTGATCTACTCCAAGCGGTGCAGCAGACAAGGGACAAGGGATCCAGCTCGTGGCTGAACGCTATTCCAATCGAAGAACACGGACTGGCTTTGAACAAGCAGCAGTTTAGGGACTCCCTTTGCCTTCGCTACAACCTCCCCCTGCCTAATCTCGAGTTACTGTGCTTGTGGAGAAATGTTTACTGTCAACCACGCTTTGTCATGTAAGAAGGGAGGTTTTGTAGCTCAGAGACATGATACAATCCGAGATCTTCTGACATCACACATCAGTAAAGTGTGCAGAAATGTGGAGACAGAGGTACTCCTGAAACCACTCGACAATGAAGTATTCAACCTTCGGTACACAGTTACAAGTCGAGAAGCGAGGCTGGATATGAAAGCAGGAGGTTTTTGGACACCAGGAGTAACGGCATTCTTTGACGTATGTGTAACGCATGTTAACTCCCGGTCCAACCAGGGCAAGTACACAGCTACGATCTTCAAAGAGCAAGAAAGCGAGAAGAAGAGGAAATATAACCAGAGAGTGATGGATGTAGAGATGGGAACGTTCACACCACTGGTGTTTGGTACAAACGGGGGCATGGGACTCGACTGTCAGAACTTTTTAACAACTCTCGCAAATAAGCTTTCGACTGAGAACGATGAACCCTACGCTAGCGTTATTTCCTGGCTTCGAATACAGCTCTCATTTGCTATATTAAGAACTGTACACAGATGCGTCAGAGGTTCTAGATATCCATTCAAATCACGTGAGGTCTCAGAAGACTTCACTTTCGCTGTAGCTGGTCTACATCTGTATTCATAATTTTAGGCCCAGATTTTTGATAGTTTTTTTCGTAGTAATGCTTGATTTTCCTTTTCCCACTCTTAAAGTATTCACAATTGTAAGTAGTTTTCTATCGTGGACATATATTTAGTTTTTAATTAGTATCTTAGAATTCTGAATTGTGAAGGGGTTTTGCTAGAAACTTGTATTTATATAATATTGATGTGGACGTTTTATTTTTATGAATATTTTACAGAAGTTTTGTGTGTAGTTTTTATAAGATTTTAATAAAGATTATTATTATTATTATTAGTATTGTTAGAATTGAATGATTATTTTTGTCTTAATTTACAAACATGTTGTTATTCAATTTGTTATTATATTTGTTTTAATTAATAAACATGTCGTTATTCAACATTTTGTTACTTTGGTCACTGTTTTCAATTATTTTGAACTGAAAATTGCGACAACTTGCATTTTTGCACAAAAATGGCCTGATCGAAGGCCACCTTTTTCCATCCATAGCAACCTACTTTCAATAAGATTGGTCAAAATGTGTGCCGTCAGGGATAAACAGCTGCTGAAGAGTGAGTAAAGCTGAGTTTTGCCGAGTAGTGCCTAATAATGGGAATTTTCCATCATTGCTCGTTTGTACTGATCTTTCAACAGCATCTCCAAAAAAAGGGCAAGAATTAGTGTTCTCTGTGCTGCTACATGCTTTCAGGGCTTTACTCTGTCTACTGAAGTTGACTCGTTTGGAGCTAAAGACTTATTTTAAGCCAATAATTTGCTTGTCCTTTAATTTGACTGATTTTGGTCTAGAAATTTACCCAAACGACAATACCTATCAGGAATTTAAAAGTTATTTAATATCATATCCGCATGGAAATGCTCACTTGTGTGCAATACCGTTTAAGAGTAAGATAGCAACAAAAATAACTCTCAGTGTGCATGCCTTTAGTTGCACATCTTGTAAATTGCTCCATGAAAATATATTCGTTCTGACACGAACGTTTCTTTTCTCTTATAACAGCACGTTGTAGATAATTTTTATTTCCCCTGTTGTATCCAAAGAACATTCAGTTTAGCACAAGAAACTGCATTAATCTCGCGATTTTAACGAGACAGTATTTCAGTTCGCAGTGTTTTATTTCCACGATCTCACTGTAGGCAAATTTGAAAAGAAAAAAACTAAATTATATTTGTTGATTAAAGAGTTCTCAGCTTCACTTTGTTTTTCAAAAAAGGCTGAAACTTTTATTTCTAGCGGAAACTCATTAGGGGTTGAAACGCGTAACTCTAATATGTTTGCTTTATCCGATCTCGTGATTATTTATTTCGAAAGTATCATATGTGGAACGAGAAGAAAAGATAACTGACCA